GACATTTAGGGGTGAGGTAGGTTACATTGAGTTAATTAGGTGGTACTTAGTTTTTATCTTAAACTGGTTGGGAGAGGTACAGTCTTTAACATAATTGGGAAGATCATTCCACATTCGAGGTCCCTTGATTTGTAAAGCATTTCTAGTTTGACTAAATCGTACTCTTGGAATATCAAATAGGTATTTGTTTCTGGTGTGGTGCTCATGGGTTCTGTTACAACCTTCTAGGAAGCTTTTAAGGTCAGGATTGACATTACAGTTCAGTGTTTTATATATAAAAAATACACATGAGAGGATGTGCAGTGACTTAATATCTAACATATTCAGAGATTTGAGTAGGGGTACCGAGTTATGTCTGGGGCCAGAGTTAGATATTGTCCTAATAGCAGCTTTGTGTTGAGTAATTAGAAGACGTAAATGATTATGGGTAGTAGAACCCCAAGCACAAATACCATAGTTGAGATAAGGATAGATGAGAGAGTAATAGAGTGTCACCAGGGTAGGGCGAGGTACATAATATCTGATCTTAGAAAGAATGCCAACAGTTTTTGAAGCTTTTTTTGATATATTTAGAATGTGTCCCTGGAAATTCAGCTTGTGGTCAATGAGAACGCCAAGGAATTTGCCAGCTACTTTGTTACAAATTTGGGTATTGTTAATCCTGAGATTTATTTGATTTGAGGATTTATTACCAAACAAAATATAGAAAGTTTGTCAATATTGAGGGTGAGATTGTTGGCAGTTAGCCAAAGATGGACTTTATTTAGCTCAGTATTCACTGTGACATTTAGAGCAAGGGGGTCAGGACTGGAATAAATGAAGGTTGTGTCGTCAGTTAGTTTAGTTCATTTATTATGCACCCCATACCCATCTTGTGGGCGGTAGTGGAAAGGGTTACAGAGGCACATAATGGGCTCAGGGACTGAACCCCACAATTCATTTAGCTAAGCAAGTTACAATCTTGATGAGCTAGTTACAAAATTCAATATAAGTCATCACATCAACAATGGGTTCGAGATCGACCTCAAGTACAGGTTCTAAATTAAGCAACTGACATATGTGGAAAGCTAGTGTCAAAATTTATATGTTTGTCCTGCACACCGCCCCCCATCCAGTGGGCAGCGGTGGATAGGTTACAATCACTAAGTTACTACCTACAGTTAGCAAACTGGGGATATTTGGCTAAAATTTCTGGTAGCAGATCATTTTGAATGAAATATTGACACATCGCTGGAACATGGGTTATAGAATTGTCTCTAAATTCACGTATCTTTTCGCACTCCATCACATAGTGACGGAGGGTGTGCGAATAATTTTGTTGACACAGTTTACATTTGGTCAGGTCTACATCAGCAGATAATGAGAATTCCCAGAGATACTTGTAACCGAGTCTAAGCCGAGCAGTAGTAACATCTAGATGTCTGCTGATTTTATTGGATGATCCATAGATGTGTGGCTTCTCTTGCATGATAGTATGATGATAGATGGAATTACTGGTGTCAATTTCACTTTGCCTCAGATCTACAAGATCTTGTTGAAGTTCTCGGTGTACTGCTGCTCTCAGATTGCTCATTGACAATCCAAGGTTGTCAGCAAATAGAATTGGTTTGAGATGTTGGGAGGCATTTGGAAGGTCATTAATGTCGATGAGAAAGAGGAGAGGGGCCAAGTATGCTGCCCTTGGGAACACCAATGTTGATGGGTAGGGTGGGAGAAATTGTATTATTCACAGAAACACATTGGAGCCTGTCAGTAAGGTAGGATTCGAGGTATTGCAGGGAGTGACCTCTGACTCCATAATGATGTAATTTAAGAAGAAGGTTTTGGTGGTTGACAGTGTCAAAAGCCTTACGCAGGTCCACAAATAACCCAACAGGGAACTCATTCTTATCAAGAGCTGCATGTATCAAGTTAATCATACTAATAAGTGCATCGTTAGTGCTTTTTTGGGTCTGAAGCCATATTGACAAGAACCAAGTATATTGTGTTTGGCTAGATAAGAGTAAAGCTGCTTGTAGATAAGTTTTTCAAATATTTTAGACAAGTTTGGCAGAATTGATATAGGTCTGAAGTTGTTAACATCAGTGGGATCACCATATTTGTGGACAGGGGTTACTCTCGCTTGTTTTTAAATATCTGGAAAGGTTTGGAGTTCAAGTAATTTGTTGAAGAGCAATGCAATGGCAGGAGCTAAAAATCTGGAGGCTTTTTTATAAATAAGAGTTGGTATCTCTTCAAGGGCTCTAGACTTGGTTTTAAGGGAAAGGATTATGTCAGTAACATCAGTGGAAATAGTAGGCATTAGGTACAGAGACTGTGGATAGTTACATGTAAGATAGTCCTGAATATTAGCACTGGAAGATGGAATATCATTTGCAAGGGATGACCCAATGAAAGAGAAGAACCTATTGAACTCAAAAGCAGTATCAGAGGCTGAGAGCTGACCATCATTATTTGACAGGAGTATTGGATTGTTATTTAAAATCTTCTTTGATCCCAATATTTGTGAAATTGTGCTCCATGTTTTCTTAATGTTGCCCTTTGTGTGGGTAAATTTATCTTCGTAGTATTTAATTTTGGCTCTCCTAATTATTTTAGACAGCAATGATGAGTAATTCTTTGAAAATTCTTTGGAGACGATTCCTAACCTATACTTCTTCTCAAGAATGAATGAATGAAACTAGAAATGCTAAGGAGAAAAGTTACTTTGAGCTTCTACTTGATTATGTTGTCAAAATGGTTAATCATTGCGCACATACAAAAAAGCATAGAATGTTTCGTGAGTTGTGTAAGGACATGGAAGCTAATTTCACAAAACTCTTCCTTCATACTGAAGTACGTTGGCTATCTCGGGGTAAAGTTCTTAATCGAGTGTTTGCATTGAGAGAACAGCTCTGTGTTTTCTTTACTGAGGAAGCAAACCCCATGGCAGTTAAATGTCAGGATGTGCTCTGACTAGCAAAATTGTCTTACATGGCGTCAATCTTCGATCATCTGAACAAGCTAAACATCAGTCAGCAAGGCAAAGGTGGGGATATTTTTACAAGTATAGGGGAAAATAAATGCATTTAAACTGAAGGTGAAAAAATGGAAAAGCAATGTAGAAAAGAGGTGCTTTTCTGATTTTGAATTATTTGACTCATTTAAGAGAGAATGTGGCTGGGAACATGGTATGCAGGCAACAGAGCAGACACTGGAGGTACATATGTCACACTTAGTTATCAGACAAGAAAACCTTGACTTATATTTCCCAGACAGTGAGAATGACCAGCTGACCTCCAACATGTGGATGCTTAATCCCTTCACAGATGAAGCAACTGATCATTGTGATGCTCTTTTGGAGCTTCGAGCGGATTATTCACAAAAAATAGTTTTAAAGACATTTAGCCATCCTATGAATTTCTGGGTTACCCTGCTTGATGTTCCAGAGTACAAGGATCTAGCTCAGCAGACAACAGCCATATTTGTACAGATGCCAATATCATATTTGTGTGAACAAGGGTTCTCTAGTTTAGTTTTGGTGAAGACAAAGAAAAGGAATGCAATCCTGAACTTGGATCCTCTCATGTGAGTTGCACTTGAAAATCGTCTGACACCTCGATTCAACCTAATAGCAGACAAAGTGCAACAGCAGCCAAGCCACTGATTTTTTTTAAAGGCTAACTATTTGTTTTATTTATTGATACCGTACTAAATATAGCAAACATTGTCTGCAATTTTACTTTAGTGAAGGAAAATGCGTCTAAATGGCATGCGTAATGTTATCTTGTGTATTTTGAGCCTCTTAGTTTGAGATGGGGTGTGTAAATATATGGATGAATATGTAAAAGTTAAATAAAAAATAAGAGAAATTGCTTTTTTCTGTTTCCATAGTCATAGAAATGATATGAAACATAGATTTTAAATATTAAAAAATGAGATTTTTAATGAGACTTTTTTGGGGTGGGGGTGGACAGCTTCTACTTAATCACTAGGGGTGGACGACATTAAAAAAGGTTGAACACCACTGCATTTGTTAATTAAAGTGATTAAATGCTGTACTATTATTATGACTTAGATTAATCATGTTTCCGTCACCTCCCACAGGATGGGTGTGGTGTGCACGATAAACAAATTAGAAATATGTATAATTGGCTCGATAAACTTACTTTCACTCTTTGTGTTAGGCCTCTTAAGGTCAATGTTATGTTAATTTGACAAACTTTGAAGATACTTTTGGTTCATGTTAACAAATTATTTAACTAGCTCTTTACTTCCATAACTAATTAATTAGTTAAACGAATTTGGGGGTTAGTTCTTGAACTTATTATATGTGCCTCGAACCTTTATTTCCATTTCCGCTGGCAAGATTGGTATAAGTGCATAATAGACGAAGTAAACTAATTACCGAAGGACTGTATAACGGTGCTCTCTGACATCAACTGTGTTTTCTTTTACTAATCAACGTGTTTAATATTTGTTTTAATATGTAGGAATGGCATTTATTTAAATATTATCAAGAAAGTACAATGGGCTATTTTATTTACAAACTCTGACGTGTAGATGGTGCATTGTCAGAAAGCCAGACATAAAAAAACAAATTGTCTGCTTCAGAGGATGGCAATCACAATAGGAAGAGGACTGCAAGTGTGAGCGTGAGTAAAGCGTGAGCTAGTAAGTACCTAAGTCTACCTCAGTCTAGCTTTCAGTGAGTACTCACCTAGTTGTGCTTGCGGGGGTTAAGCTCTGGCTCTTTAATCCCGCCTCTCAACTGTCAATCAACTGGTGTACAGATTCCTGAGCCTATTGGGCTCTATCATATCTACATTTGAAAGTGAGCGCAAGTAAGTGAGCAAGCGTGAGGGTGTGTAAGTCAGTGAGCAAGCAGGAGAGTGTGAGCGAGTGAGAATGTGTGTGAATAAATGAGTACGTGTGTGAGTAAATGGGTATGTGAATGAGTGAGTGCGCGGGTGGGGACCGCGCAGGTATTCAAACGTCCCGCGCGAGGCCTCACTCCTCCCGCCGCCACTAGAGCACCTCCTACAATTTTCGTCATCCGGGAATCTACCGCCATATTTCTATTTTTGCATCAGTGTCCGTTGTTTATGTGACTGTATTTGCCAACGTTTCTGCGATGCCCACACCTTTCTTCGTCCGTGTGTAGTGTAGACTTCTTCGGTGTGAAAGGAGAACTGTAGTGTGTATATTTAAGTATATTATAGCCAGGGTAACAGCTGCTGTCATCGCCGACTTCCAGCCTTGTATTTCCAGTCATGTCAACGAAAGCCAAACAAGAAGGGGATCCCACCGATGATGGTAATGTAACACTCCGCTCACCACTATTGTCAGGACTGGTGGATGGGCAGTAGTTCCCCCCTCTGTGATGGAATGTTTGTACAAGAGAAGTGAAAGTTGGTTGATGGTGTGTTGTTGAGGCAGCAGTGTTGAAGGTCTTGGTGGTAAAGGTCTGCTCTTCACACTTAAGTCTTGACAAGTCTAGCCTTGTTATCCAAGTACACTTCAGTTGCACTTGTCAGATTAGCTACCTGTTACGCTGTACTACTAGTCCACACCGCGAAATGCCACTTCAGTTAATTTTATACGGTATTTTTAGAGGTCTATGTACTATTTTTATAATCTATATCTAAAATTATTAATGTTCTTAACTATAAAGTTTTGGTAAAGCCTGGCTGCTGGTGGGTTGGTGCAGTGGTAGCCTAGAGTATGGGGTGAGCTACAGTACATAATTAGCTAACTATAGTTTACTGGTGGTTGTCTGATGCTCTGTGATGGTCAAGTTTACCTTGACAAAAGATAACATTAACACTACATTGTCTTAATTGAATCCAGATGCCTTAATGTTCTAAAAGGTTAAGCGACACAAGTATGATTCATAGATAATATAAATATACATACTGTTTATTATAAATGTGGTTAAATTTGATATGGAATGTTCAGTGACCGAAGTGGATTGGTCTTGCCTTCACTTTAGCAACATTTTTCTAAAACAATTATTACAGACAAAATATTGCCAGTCCCAAGTTTTATACATGTTAGTGAGACTAATCACAGCAGTTTTGTTTATAATGTAATGTCTACAATAGCCTTGTGGGCTGTTTGTCAAATGGTGCTTTTTTTTTATATATGCCAGGTAGACTATACGTCAGCTTCTCAAGATGAAGTATACAAATATTTTTTATTGCATTTACCAAATTGACATTTCATGAACAGTGTTTTTGTTAAATGTTTGGGTTAATTAAGGCAGCACCAATCAGTGAGTGAACTGCTGTTCATCTTGTATTTTGATATGCTGCACTCGGCGAGTATTGCACTGTCTGGATGTGTTCTGGTCTAATATTCTGTGGATAATGAAACCTTTGTATCAAATGCAGCATAAAAGGTTTGGCAAATACATTACATATGATGGTGACATCTTATGCATTGTCAGTTTTCATGTTTTGTTTATTGCTGTAAATAGATCTGAAGTGTATACAATATATATACCTTATTAGGGGGGCCCTGACTGCTGAGTGGACATCGCTTGGGATTCGTAGTCCTAAGGTTCCCGGTTTGCTCCCTGGCGGAAGCGGAAACAAATGGGCAGTGTTTCTTTCACAGTGATGCGCCTGTTCACCTAGCAGTAAATAGGTACCTGGGAGTTAGACAGCTGCTATAGGCTGCTTCCTAGAGGTGTGTAACAAAAAAAAGGATGCTTGGTTGAGGACCAGGCCACGGGGATGCTATCCTGTTAGTAATTGTTCACTACAAACATTATTTTTGTCTTGAGGTCTAATACACACTATTAGGCTAGGCATGGATATTATAAGTTAGGTTGTGTTAAGTTGGGCAGTCTTCTATATTCAGTAACCAAGCAAACTATACTCTATGATTGGCAGTAGTGTGCAAACCACTACTATGTATTATATTCACTTTTATTAAAAGTATTTTTGTACAGTTTGCAGATCTATTGTGAATGTTAGTTTAGGCCTATTGGCTAATTTAATATTAGGCTTGTATCCAAATGATGAATGGACTTCAGTACAGTGGTCTGTCATCAGGCAGATGTCACTATCAGGCGGATGATGAGTAAAATGAGGCATAGGTGATGGGGTATAATGCTCGTAATTTAGAGTCCAATGCCGCTTACGCCTGATTTTACTCATCATCTGCTTGATGACAGCATTTAAAAATAGATCCTGCCTTAAAAACCTGCTCACATTTTTGGAAACAGTAACCAGCTACTCAAAGAACTTCCAGTTGATGTATAATTGGATTTTGTTAATGCCTTTGATAAGGTACCACATGAAAGGCTGGCAAGGAAGTTAGACACATGGAATAAATGGAAGAATACTAGAATGCACAAAATAATAGTTAGAACAAAGAAAACAATCGTGCTAAATGGGAACGAATTTGATAGGGGAAATGGGGTAAGTGGGGTACCACAAGGGTCCATTGGGCCAACCCTTTTTTGTGATGGACATTAATGTTATGAAAATATTACATCATCAGACCACATCATCAAATTTGCAAATGACACAGATTTATGGTAAAGTGGGAAATGATAATGCAATTGAAGCCTTACAGAGAGATCTACATGAACTCCATAAATGGTCAAAAAACTGGCAAATGCTTTATAATATTGACCCTGCATATATGGGGCATAACAACCCACACCACAACTACCAAATTAATAACATTACAGCAGATTGATGAAGAAAATGACCTTGGAGTAAAAATCTACCACTCGATGAAAGTTGCACAGCAGGTAGGGGCAGCTGTCAAAAAAGCTAACCAAACCCTTGGAATAATCATGTATCTTTGACTTTAGGGAAAAGGTAGTGATTCAGTTGTATAAATCTTTGGTGTGCCCCTATTTGTATTACTGTATCCAAGCATGGAAATCACATCTTCAGAAGGACAGATCTGCTCTGGACAAAGTGCAACATTGGGCAACAAAAATCATTCCAGAGCTAAGTCAACTCGCATATGAGGAACGGTTGAGAGCCACAGGGCTAACAACAACAATGCAAACCAGGCATGGCAGAGTGGATCTCATTGAAACTTAAAATACTAAACAATTTGGAAGATAATGATCTGGAAAATTTCTTCAAAATGTCAGATGTAACAAACACAAATCAATGGTTTCAAACTCAACAATCCACAATGTAGGACTGAGAACAAGAGGTGCTTTTTCACCCACAGGGTTATAAACCCATGGAACCGCCTACCCATAGAAACTGTAAAGGTCAAAACTGTTAACTTTTAAAGTACAGATGGAAAATAACATACAGGCAAATGGGGGGGGGGAGGTACCTTCGACAAACTGCTGGCTTGCTGTCCTTGTCGAGGTTACTTGTGTTAGTGGCCCTAGGGTAAATTCAGGTAAATCAGCTCAAAACTGAAGGTCTCGCCTGGCATTCCGCGAGCGCTATGTCATGGGTTCGTATCCTGGCCGGGGAGGATTTACTGGGCGCAATTCTTTAACTGTAGCCTCTGTTTAACGCAACAGTAAAATGTGTACTTGGAAACACATGTGAAAAATGTGAAAAAACGATTCTTCGCGGCAGGGGATCGTATTCCAGGGACCATAGGATTAAGGACTTGCCCGAAACGCTATGCGTACTAGTGGCTGTACAAGAATGTAACAACTCTTGTATATATCTCAAAAAAAGAATGTAGATGGTATTGTGTATTGATGTGTGTGTTCACCTAGCAGTAAATAGATACTGTACCCGAAAGTTGGATAATTATTGTCCTAGTGAGGGTCAGTAGTTGGTCAAGTGAGACCTCGTTAAGCCTAAGTATAGGCTTCTTGTCCCAGACAGTGGAAAGCCATTTGGTGTACTGTATACTGTATATATAATCTGTAAATTCAGTACAATTGTTAGCTACAATTAATTTATATGGGTAAATGTGTTGTAGTTAGGTTAAAGCATTTGCTATTCAACAGTACCAATATTACCAGTCTTTACTAGTACTGTACTATCAATTGGAACTAACTAATATTATCTGATTTATTTAGTCCTAATAGTGTGCATTAGACCCCAAAAATCAAAGCTAGTGGTGAATGATCACTCAATTCATATATATAGGGTTTAAACTCCAAATTGTGTTTCCTAGGACATTTGTAATTACAGTATCAATAAACAAGGCTTTACAAGAATGTAATTACTATGCTATGTATCCTCACAATCCCAGTGTACCTTCTTGGATATATAAATAAATAAATAAAGTATGTGTGTTTTGTTACTGCTTGGGGTAGATGTTTCTTGTGTAGAATTAAATTCTTTATTATCCAAGAACACGAAACATTGGGTATAAACTGGATAAGTTTACATTTCGGAAAGACCTGGGTAAATGCTGGTTCGGTAACAGGGATGTTATGTGGAACTAGTTGCCACGGGGTGTGGTGGTGTGGTCCTTTGATTGTTACAAGTGTGGATTGGAAATGTGTGAGTGGGATTAGGTGGTTATAAATAGGAGCTGCCTTGTATGGGCCAATAGCCCTTCTGCATTTACCTTTATTCATATGCTCTTATGTTCTTATTCAGTAAAACATCTTATTTTTTATTAGACATTAAGTTATTTTTAATGGATATTCATCATGGTACTGTAATTTTTTATTACATAGTATATTCTTTGTGGTATTGGATAGCTATTTTTCATTTGATATGCAAATTCCTTTTAATTTGGAAGGAGGTGGAATATTATTCCATACCTTACAAAAGCAAATTTGCTTCAGATAGCCTAATGAACATAAAATTGCAGGCCTGTTGGCCTATACAGGGCAAGTCATATTTATACCCATCTAAACTTGCTCATATGTTGACCAAACCACACACTAGAAAGTGAAGAGACGACGACGTTTCGAGGGCTCATTTCGTTTCACGGGGCTCTGTCAGCTATCCTCTTGCTAAAACTCTGACACCTTACCTTGGCACTTTTTCTCCTGCCCACCTTCGTCACTCTCAGGACTTCATAGAAAGACTACCCTTCTGTAAGATGCTTAGTCTTGATGTTGACTCTGTTCACTAATGTTCCCCTTAATGACGTTCTCTCTCTCCTTAGACAGAAGGCAACTGAGGGCCTTCTTCCTCTCCTGCTTCCCACTGACATTTTCCTCGAACTTATTAGACTCTGTGTTAACTCTTAACACTCTTTCAACAGTAAATATTACACTCAAACTTTCGGTGTCGCTATGGGTTCCCCCCTCTTCCCTGTTCTTGCCAATTTCTATATGGAATACTTCGAAACTTCTTCCTTCTATTGATACTCTTCCCTCTCTCTGGCTTTGCTATGTTGATGACATTTTTACTTTATGGCCTCATGACCTTAGTCTTTTTCAGCCTTTGCTCTCCTCTGAATGGGAATCTAATTCCCTCCTTCCTTTTCTTGACGTTGTGATGGGTTGTGGTATCGCAGCTATACTGAACCAAGATGGTATGGCTCTCCCTCACACAAATAAAAAAAATGCTGCTATTGGCCTTGCAGTGTGTAAGTCGCAGGTGGAAACAAATGAAAATCGTCAAATAAATAAACGATTTACTGAAATCGTTTTTAAAGATTTCGATTTTAAAGATTCGCAGACACGACTTTTAAAGTCGTGTCTGCCACAGGGTATACCATCCTCAATTACCCATGAACAACAGTTTAATACTGTATGTAGGTTTTATTAAGTTTCAGTAAATTGTGTACTGTTCTGTATACAAATTTTTACAGGCCAATGTCACTATTCCATATGTAAAAGGAATTAGATTTTTAATTAATATTTTACTTTGAACATGTGTGAAAATTTGTAGTGCAAAATCTTTCTGAATTGATTCCCAAAAATATATACATTTTTTAAACTAGCCTGAAATATTTTGACATTATTTGATCAGTTCATGTTAACATACATTGCTGAAAGATGGATATAGATAATCTATATTTATATTTCAGGGGTGGTGGTATCCCTTTCCTGTACAGTAAATGCAGTACTTTTAAATTAGAGATAGTATTTTTATGAATATTCAAAGAAGGTTGCAAGTTTTTCAAATTTATTTCAATAGTTATAAGATAAAATGGTTTAAAATATGTATACTATGTATTTGCCTTTATTTTACAGAAATGAATATAGAGTGTCCTGATATGTGGTCTAGTCATCAGCATCAGGAGGAAGACGGGGATGATGGGAGCAGTGGTGGTGGAGGCCGGGACTCCTCCACACCCTCTTCTAAGCCAGAGGAAGGAGATACATCTGCCTCTTCATCAAACTCCAGTGGGGGAGAATCCCAGAAGGGAACTGCACCACCTTCCAGCTCCTCTTCTCCACAGAATCTTCCTCAGTGGCAGTACTCTAGGGTATGCTACATAAATGTTTTGGACCACCATTTCTCCATCTTTTCTGGGGGAAGCCCCTTTGGCTCCCTGGAGCCAACTAGGCTGATATGCTAATGTCAGACTTTGGCATCAGTCATGTGTGTGGAGTTCAATGGGCCTACCGGGGACCACGAGCCAGAACCTGGCCCCCTCAGAAGAGGCAAGGGGAGCAATGGCCTATAGAAACCCCAGTGTGGATGGAAGCATTCTATGTCTGCCATTGACCGGGTCAGGCACCCAGAAAGGTAAGCATTCCAAAACAAACCCCTATTCTGGTGAAAATATTGCTACCTAAAGCCGAACAAATGGATAGAACTCCCCTAAACGAAACGAGCAAACAGTCATGACGTCACACATCGCCACGCCGCTGTCTGCACAGCTCCCCCCTCCGTGGGAGGGGGAAGGGGGAGTCCCAGACCCCACATGCCAGCTATCCACCCTTCAGTTCTCAGGCTGATGCTAGAGGTGGAGGTTGTGTGCTTGGCTCCAGAGTTTTCAGCACTGTGCTTATAGTGTGGTGGCTGTCTTCGAAGGGTGCAAAAGCCAGGAGTTATTCTATGGTACTCGGGCTGCATGTGCCTAGGGTTCTCGTCCCTGGGTGCCCTGTAAGTACTGCCCTTGGGGCTTGGAGTTGCCTTCCACAAGCTCCTTGGAACCCGCCTCTGCTAGGTCCTCTTACTGCTCAGTTTTTTGGCCACCCTTTGGGTGCTTTGGGGTTTTGTCTTCCTTGTTTACCTTAGGGTAAGAGGCAGTTTGCACTGGTGGGGCGCAGGGTGCTGCACAGCTTTTTACCACTCACAGCGGCCGGCTCTGTTCCTTGGGGTACGTTGTCCTCTTACAGGGTTTTGTTTTTCTTTTTCTTTTTGCTGGTGGGGGTGGGGGGGGGTCTGCCTTGCTTCCCCAATTATGTCTGACCTGTGTACGGCTTTTTTCTGGAGGAGCCCCTGCTAGGTTCCCGTGAGTGTACACGTCCCTTGGGTTCAGCTTATAGATAGTTGTGGGCGCTGGTTAGCAGTACCCTGCCTGGGCGTGAGTGCCTTTTGGTAAATGCTCAGGACCCTGGGAATCCACAAGGGGGGCATGTGGGTCCGATGGATGTGTCCCCGGAGTCCTCTCTCACTTTGTGCGAGTTCCAGGGTTGCTCGGTCCCCTTGATTCAAGGTGATCCTCACGGTTTTTGCCTCTGTCACGCTGCCTCTTGGGTTGGTGACACTTTCGACCCTGAGTCCTGCGAGTTCTGTTACTTGCTAGTCAATTTACCCAGTCTAATGATGATCTTCTACGGGTACAGGCAGCGCAGGCATTGCACGTACGCTGTCGGCTGTTGCAACGCTCTCGGTTGGTTGCTCACCCGGATGCCCTGAGGCTGCCCTGTTTTGCCTATAGGGACCCGGACATGAGGAATGGGAGTCGCTTCGACCCTGGTTCAGTTCATGCCCCTCGTCCTTTCCCTTTGGTGGTTCGTTCTGGTTTCCATCCCCCCCCCCTGCTTCCAGCTCTGAAGCATCTGAGGGATTCGGAGTCAAGGCAGGTTTTAGATGATCTTGAGTCTCGGGCGGTCTTGGGGGATGTCCCTTTCCATGTGGCGACGGAGGTCTTCGAGTTTGATCCCCCAGCCGAAGCCTCTGGGTCTGACCAGTGGGCCCCCTTCTCTTCGGCTTACTCAGCTGCGCCAGCTTTTTCTTTAGGGGCCGGTGCTTTGGGGGATGATTCGGCCCCAGATCCCGTGGAGGGGGATCCTGGGACTAGGGAGGGGCTGACTTGGGGCCTTGGGCCCCACTGGACCCTGCCTGGGTTTTTATACCCTTGGAGTGGGGCTTATTGTTACAAGAGAAGTGAGGTTCTCTTTATTTTCCCCTCTGTGTACTACTTGGATATGGTGTTTGCCCCTCCCCGTGTTCGGTTCTGTCCCCCCTCGGGTGCGGTGTTTCCGTCTTTCTGGAGGTTTTCGGCTTCCCCCATCCAACCGTCTTCGGTGTGGGCGGCCCTAGCGGCTTACCTCGTGCGTGACCCCGGATTACGCCTTGGTGATGGATCCGTCGTCTTTCAGGTTTGGGACTTGGTACTCTTTCTGGGTCCGTTACGAGGTTCCGGAGTTGTCCTGGCTGGTGGACTGTCCTGTCTTGCATTGGAGGCCTGGCTTTCTTTCTGTTGTTCCCACACGCTTGAGTGGCACGAGGTTTCGACTGTGGTTCAGGTTTTCCTGGGGGGTGACCTTGAGCACCTCAATGAGTGCTTGTTTGCTCCTGCCCTTTCCCGGGATGTTAGTGTTCTGCAGCTTCATGTGCAGGTTCCCTCCCTTTCGGCTGCGCAGGTGGCCAAGAATTTGCGCTCCAGGGGGCCTCTTGGCATCGGCCTTGCGCTAATTTTTCCATCCTGGAGCTGTCTTCGGACTGGCTTGGGGAGGATGTGGTGGCGCTTGGGGTCGTTCCGGGGTCTGGTGCCTTGGGCTCGGCTGCTCGCGTGTCAGCTGCTTTGTTGAAGCTGTTTGTGCTGATCTTGCAGGATGTGGTTGCCGAGTTTTATGCTTCCCGGCTCGAGTGTCGACAGGCCGTGCTTGCCTCCTCTCTGGAATCGGCCTGGGCCCTGGCTCTTAGGATGTCTTCGCCCTTTTGTCCTCTTTTTGCTCCGGGAGCCGTAGTGCAGTATATTCTGGCTGCTTTGGCCAGTTGCCGTCCGATGTCAGACGTGTTGGTTCTCCAGGGGGTCCCGGGGCCTACCCGGAGGGGTTGTGCCAGGGCTCGGGGTTCATCTCGTGGTAGGCCACTGGCACCGGGTTCAAGCTTGGCTCCGTCTTCGGTTGTGCCTTCGGCTGGTTGGCGCGGTGTTTGCCCTGTGCTGGGTTCTGGGTCTCATAAAGGGCACTGGCCCCTTCGCGGTTCACCCCATTGAAGGGGCAATGAGGGGGAGGGGGCTTGCGCTGTTCCCTCACGCCTGGTCCCATGATTTGTGGGCATTTCGGGTCATTTCATTTGGCCTGCGGTGGTGTTGGGTGGCCCCTCCTCCTTCGGGGGGTTCGGGGCTGGCGGGGTAGGCTTCTTCTGCGCTCCGTTGACTCGTCTTGGAGTGGGTTTACTTGGGTGTCGTCGAACCGACGTCGCCCCTCGGATGGGTTTCCCGTCTTGTTTCCAGTGCCGAAACAGTACTGTGCAGACCTGAAGTTCATTCTGGACTTGTCCTGTCTGAACCCCTGGGTTCATTGCCTCTCCTTTTGGTTGACTACGCTGTCTCAGGTTCGGCTCCTGTTGGAGCTGGATTCTTGGATGGTGTCCTTGGACCTCCTGGATGCTTATTGGCATGAACCAATTCATCCGGGGTTCAGGGACTGGCTCGGTTTTGTTGTGGGGCGTCAAGGTTACTGCTTTCGTTGTATCCCGTTCGGGTTGAATCTGGCGCCTTGTGTGTTCACACGCCTTACACGAGTCATCGTGGCCCGTCTGCATCTTTTAGGTGTTCGGGTGTTGTCCTACCTCGACGACTGGTTAGTTTGGTTTCCCAGACAGTCCATTTGTATGCTAGCCAGGGATTTGGTTCTTTCCCAGCTCGCCGGGTTCGGGTTCTTGGTGAACTGGAAGAAGTCCTATCTGGTGCCCTTCAAGGTTTGGTCATGGCTGGGTCTTGTGTGGGACTCTTGAAAAGATTCCTTGTCTCTTCCTCCGGAGTCTCTCCTCTGGCTGCAGTCCCGCTTGCGCCTGTTTCTGGGGGGGCTCCCGGGTCACCCGACAGTTACTCGAGGGTTTGTGACGGAGCCTGAACTTCACGATGTTGGTCTACCTGCCGGGTCGGGTTTGACTTCGTCGGCTGTTCTGGTTCCTTCGGGGACGTTCCTTCCGCCTCTTGCGATCGCTGGGTTCGATCCCACAGGGGCCTTGGGTTGGCTGCTGTGTTGCTGGTTTCCTGTTTTTTTTTTTTTTTTTTTTTTTTTTTTTTCTCTCTCTCTCTCTCTCTCGTTTGGTGCCTTGGCCCCTGCCCGAGCCCTTGCTCAATGTGTTCACGGACACGTCGTCTCTAGGCTGGGGCTTTGTGACCAGTACTCACCAGGCTGGCCAGGGGCAGTGAGGTCCATCCTTCCGTCGAGCCCATAGCACGGTGCAGGAGTTCGCATCGGTGTGGTTTGCGCTTCAGAGGGTTTGGGTCGCCCGCGGATCTACGATCCGGCACCATTCGGACTACTCTCCGGTGGTTCATTGTCTGAACCGGGGGGGTTCGATACGGTCCTTGGCTCTTTTGGGGTTGGGCGCTTCGGGTGATTCATCTGCCGAGTTCTTGGTTTGGCTCTCCTGGCCGTTCACGTACGGCGAGTGTCCAACGTCTTGGCCGACGGCCTGTCGCGTTTTGTTCCCCTCTCCATGGAATGGACGGTTGATGCAAACTCCTTCAATTGGCTTCGCCGGACGTTCGGTCGCCTCGAGGTGGACCTCTTCGCGTCGGCGTGGTCGCGGCGCCTTCCCCTGTATGTGGTGCCCTTCCCCGACTGCGAGGTCGTCGGGGTTGATGCTTTTCGGCAGGACTGTTCGTGGTGGGGATTCCTGTAACTCTTTTACCCGGTTCAGCTGTTGCTCCAGGTCCTAACTCACTTGGAGAGTTGTCCTCTTGGCCCTGTGGTGGCCGGCCCATCCATGGTTTCAGGCGCTGCTTGCTCGGTGTCCAAACCTTGAGGTTTTCCCGCAGCTCCGCCTTTTCGAGCAGATCGGATGGGAACGTCACGTAGCTGGTTTGATCTTCTCCTCGAGTCTTCGTGTATGTTATTTTTTACTCGAGTTTATCATCTCTATGCTGATCAGGTGTTTTCCTTGTTAGTGTCCCACCTGCGGGTTTCGTCTCAGCGGCAGTACGAAGTTTCCTGGCAGTCCTTCCGTTTCATCCTGCGTCTTCGTCATTGTACTTCGCTTTCTGTTAGGATAGTGTTGTCTCTTCTCTCTTGGTTGTTCTAGGTCCGTCATCTTATCCCTAACACTGTCGCCTTGTCTCGTGCGGTGCTGGCGGAGCCGTTTCGGCTTGCTTTCGGTATTGATGTTACTTCTGCACCGTTTTGCAAGCTGTCTCAGGCGTTTTCTACTCCAGCCTGCTCATGTGCCACCTGAGCCGTTCTGGTCATTGGCCTCTTATCTTTCTTCTCCTCGGTTTGTTGTGGCCCCTTCAGTTCGGGTTTGTTTCTCCAAGGCTCTTTTTCTGTTGGCATTGGCCTCTGGGGGTCGAGTTGGTGAGCTTCATGCTCTCCTCCGGCGCAGGGGTTTCTGCTCTTTCGGTCTTCGTGATGGTTTTGTTCGTTTAAAGCCGTTCCCTTATTTTCTGGCAAAGAATGAGACTGCTGCTTTCCGGAGGGGTCCCTGGGTTGTGGATGTTTGGTTGGTTAGCCCGGGGATGCATCATGTTTTGTTTCCGGTTGCAGCTCTTCGCCGTTATTTGCGCACTTTGGGTTGATCCGGTTTCCCTTCCTTGTTTGTGGGTGCGGGTCTTCCAGGTCGTCCGCAGAGCTATTAAGGCTAGCCAGCCTGCGGTCTATCCCCGTGCCCATGACTTTCGTAAGTTCGCTGCTCTTGCTGCCATCTTTGGCAATATGTCCTGGGCTGACATTCGGGCGCGGGATTTTTGGCAGTCGAACAGGGTTCTGGCTGCTCGTCACCTTGTGAACATCCCTGGGCCTAGTCGGGCTTGTCACTTTGGGTCGGCGGTTGCAGTCAGTTGTCTTGGCTTCGAGATGAGGAGTGAGCAGCGACCCCCGGGTACGGCTGTTCTCGTGCTGGGTACGGCTGTTACGTACACCCTTCAGTAAGCTGGTGTTTAAGCCAGATCCAGTAACATAAATTTATCTTAAATGTTCGATTTACATCAAATTATATATTTTTGGGTTATATATTTTAGTTTAGCAACATTATTACGGTAATAAGAGCTATGAAAAGTACTTTGGAACTGATTTATTAATTTTATTATTTAGAAGCCGTAGATCACTGAACTGTGGCGACGAAATCGAACAAAACAAGCATGGTGTTGTGTGGACAGGGATTAGACCCGTCCACTCATGCTGGAGTTGTGCTGCCAATAACGTGAATAATTTCTCAAATAGCAGATATCTATCATATTACAGTATATTTTTGGTTTTTAGTTTAATTAGGATAATAGTTATTAACACACCAGTTTTAGAAATTATTTATTAATGTGAAACGTTCAAAGTCATGGGTCACTGAACTTTAACAACACAGACGAAAGTGAGTGAAACCTCACTGTAAAGTGAGGTTTACTGTACAGTATTCCCTTATCTGTCCACCCTCACTCATCTTGTTTCATCACAGAAAATGTACATAAGAAGATTTCAACACATTAGCTAGCTATTCACGCTTCAGCCTTTAAATTAATTTACAAAGATACATGTGCCACAAATCGGTGAACGAAAATCATTGAAACGCAGTCGTTCACTTGTCTGGCTGGTGTTTGGTTAATATGCGTCACTTCTTGTGGACCATTCTGGCTGGTGTTTGGTTCATATGATTCACTTGTGTGGTTCACTTGTGTGATCCAACTTGTCTTATGAAGGAATTATTAATTGTAATCTGTGATAGAATGAGGCAGTTTTCTGCCACTCTGTGAACTCTGTCCCAACATCGTAAGCTTGTGGACCACTTGTGGACCACTTGTGCGGTCCACTTGTGGGATCGAACTTGTCTTATGAAGGATTTAATAATTGTAATCTGTGATAGAATGGGAAAGTTTTCCATCAGTCTGTGAACTCTGTCTCGACGTCGTAAACAAATCCGAACATCCCCCGCTTCGGCGAACCATTGTTCGTCGAATCGGGTGAGTAAATCCGGCCTGAAAAGTATGCGAACTAGCCGGAGATTCGTCGAATCGGGGTACGTTGAATCAAGGTTGTACTGTATTAGGCGATGCTGTGTTCACAAGCTGAACAGCGGTGCTGAGAGTTAATGCTGCGTGTGCCAGCCTTGGTTGCTCACTCATTACTGAGGCTCTCATACCCGGAAATGTTGCCCATGATTTAAAAAAAAAAAAAAGGCGTCTGTTTACAAGAGCCCTTAGGAAGCTGATGTGAACCCTGTGTAGTCGTGAGAGTTTTGAATACCTGTAAGTATTTATAGTGAATCCTATACCTATAAGAATATTTTGAATACGCTATACCTATAAGATCCCGGAGGCGCGTTGCTCACTCCCCGTCAAGTGCCTGCAGGGGTCTTGCGCAGTTCAGAGGTTAAGGATGCTCTTTTTCTTATTTGTACCTAACTGTGCTTTCTATACTAACAGACATTATCTTTGGCTATAAAGCCTTCCACTTGCCTATAGTGTTATGGGCTAGTGTAAGGCTTTACAACTCTTCCACTAGTCCGGCGTTATACGCCTTTTACTTTTTCTGGGCTCTGACCTATGCGTTATTTCCTTTGTAACCAAAAGTTATTAGGGACTTGCTTCTATCAGCTGTGTTTTGTATGTGTATGCTAATAACCAGCAGCAGATAGAAGGAAGACAAAAAAGTAAAGCAGAGGAAGGCAGGAAAGTGGTTGGACAAAGATTTTTATCATGATGAAATTGTCCTGCTTTAATAAAGCAGGTAATTTAGCAAAGTTTTAAATTTCAATTAATGTGTTTTTCAATTGAAATTTCAATTAATGTGTTTTTCTGATTAGGAAGAGCTATTGGCGCTTAAGGAAGCCCCTTTGTCAATAAAATGGCCGGCTTGTTTGGATCCTGCCTACAACAAATCTCCAGGACAATGGGACCCTGAAAGATGGATTAGAGCAGTGCATGATGAGCGGCGTCCGTCCAGCACTGCTTCCACAGGTACTAAAGTGACCAATAATAGGCCTGATCGTCCACCTGACTTAGAATTGAAACGTAGCCGTGACCCTCGTGAAAGAGTCAAGGTTAGTTAAAAAAAATTTAAGTATTGAATTCCATGTCTGATATTTGTTTACAAGACATATCCTCTTTCTAAGGCCTTGCATAAACTGTATATTTGGTTGTACTGTATGTAGCATAAATTGTTGGCAATGATGTAGAAAAACCTCAAATTGAGAGTAGGCTTCATTGAAGATACCTGTAAGGGATTTATCAAAGCTGCAAAGCTTTATCACTGCAGCTGCTTGTAAATGGAAAAGGTGAGGCAATGGTGGGGTTTCCTGAACAAATAGCCTGGATGTGTCACAACGGAAAGGTTGATGATATTCTTGAGAGATATAAGAATTTTGCACCAAGATTGTAATATTTTGTTGAATTATCTGCAGGTGTCTTGCAAATTGTCTATACAGTATACCTAGGTCATAAAAGTATTTGTGTGTACGTCTGATACCATACTACTTGTGAAGGAGGAAATGTATATTTTTACCTCTCAAAATGTTTGGTAATGTGTTTATTTGTGATGTGTGTCTATGTATATATTAACACGTTGTACTGAATGGGGTGAGAATAGCTTGAGCTACCTCATCCCTTTGTGTGTATTTTACCTCAATAAACTTATTTCAATTTCAATTTCAATTTCAATGGTGGGGTAAGACCAAACGTGAACAGGATTAACTTAAATAAATAAATTGAATACATTTTTATTTAGCAATTTTTAAACATCATGATGATTTTGATGAAAAGAGACAAAGCAATTGGATTTTTATCAGGGCATTTAAAATGCTTTGGCAGGTTTCATTAGAGTACATTACTGATACATTTCTAAACCTATTTCATTAGGACATGCAGAAAGAGAACTAAGAATTAATAGCAATGCTAAAGCAAAATTTGACTGAAAACTTGTTTCACAATTGGAGACAAGGAATCTGACTAACATTGCAATAGTCAGTACTGTATACGAGTTTTACATTAATAAACACCCTTAATTGGTGATCAGTTTAGAAATAAAGCCAACAGCAAGGGTATACACAATTCCTTGCAGTAATTGTAGCAAAGCCTATGTAGAATTGATTACCAATTTCTGGGGTCAACACCTTATGAACATTTATCAAACTTTTTGGGTTAAGTGTACTGTTTACTTTGCCTAGACGTCTTAGTTAATGGGGATGGGTTGCCATTAACTAAGATGGGGGTGATATGGATAATGGGGGGGGTTCTCACTATGATGGTAGTCCAAAGTAACAGAACAGAACAGTACTGTTATATTAATGTTTTAATGCGGCCTTTTGTTTATTGTATTTTATTTGCTTTTACCCTTCCTTGAATCTTTATGTAACCCGGGACACCACTGTAGCCCTCGACCTGTTCCCAATACTTTGGTAATTCGATATTTCCAGGAGCTTGCTGCAGTGTGACTCCTGCCTCCTCCATCTCAGTCACCACCACACAGTGTGTGTGTGTGTGTGTGTGTGTGTGTATTTTTTTTTTTAAATGTTGTATAAAAAAGTTATTTTTTCATTGGTATATTTAACTTTCATAGTTTGGCTGCTCTGTGCTGGCTGCCACATGATAATGCATAATATTTTGATGCCTGCAGATAATGTATTTGAAACAAAACATAAAATTTCCTGTTTGACAGTCTGTGTTGATTTAAATTTCATATATTGCAGCAAGAAGAACAAGATGGGCTAGTGCTGTCACCCCAGCGTCGAAGTTTTAGCACAGGCTGTCATGGTTTACAGCAAGTACCCTCTGCAACTAAACGTCCAGACTCGCCTACAGAACGTCCTCAGAGGGAGTCCCATCGAGAGATTCCAGCTCGTAGGATTGGTTCTGGTCGAATTTCTCGACGAGATGATTTGGAGACGCCGGTTCCTGGTGAACGTAGGGAAACAGCAAGACGAGAGCGGGATATAGATCGAGATAGAGACCGTGAAAGAGAAGTTGAACCACCACGTAGGGACACCAGAGACTGGAGATCGAAGAATGAACAATGCTTTGATCGGGATAATAGGTAGGTTTGATTAAGATTACTGAACCTCGCCCCTCATGAACCCCACAAAATTCCATATGCAAAAATATTTTTCATTCATCAATAAATCTTTCTTCATATTAATCCCTCATATATAGCAGTTTGTTATATTGTCTCAATTTTTTTTGTTCATGTTTCTTCTTGGAATTCCTTTCAGTGATTAAATACAGTTGAATGCCTATTGTTTTCATTTGAAATTTTTCTATGTTTACATTTTCAAACCACTTCAGATATGAAAACAGACGTCGCTTCTTTGAAGAAGAAGAAACTGAAAAGAGAACTGATCGGAGAGAGAGAGATCGTCGTTATCAGGAACGGCGGCGGATGTCTTCTCGCAATGAGGAAGAAGAACCAGAATGGTTCACTGGAGGTCCTACAAGGTACAGTATTTATGAATAAATATTTATTGCAATGTATCAATAAAGGTAGTGAAGACTTTATATAGGAGTGAAATATTTTTTCAAAGTATGAGCATATCCTTTAGCTAAATTCAGAACAGATTCAGTAATACACAATGAAAACACAATGTGAAATATTTGAGACACTTTGGAGCAGGGCAGTGGAATTGAATTCACTAACTTGAAAATTCGGTCAGGCTTGAAGATGGTATTTTTTAAGCATGTCATGGTTCATGGATAAGGCATAAATCTGGGGCGACCCAAGGCATTAGTTCGATTCCATCTCCTCCAAAGATTTTCTTGGATACTGTAATGCTTATTCCCCCTCTCCCCAAAAAAGCTGTTCATTATGTATATGCTCAAGGTGCTTGTCCTTCAAACCTACCTGCTGTTCACTAGTACAGTAATGGGTGTTATTTTCTTGAAGTTGATGTAGACAATTCCACAAGGTGTTGACAGTTACCTATGTATAGTGTTGCACATGATGCCTTGTGTTTATCTAGTTTGTGGAGCAAGATCTAGTTCAGTCCTACCTTACAGCTATTGTATCTGGTGCATTTATGCTTCACAATGTTCCAGTACAGTGCACCCTTGAATATCCAGATCAATTCGTTCCAGACGTATCTTCTATCATACCATAGAGTTTTTAATTTATTATTCCTTTCCATCTATTAACACATTCCTTCTTTAAATGTATTTCAGTATCCATAAATTAATATTTTCAGTACAGTATTGATGTTCTCTCATGCCCACATACCAACCACATCCAGTGGTGATTGTTGTAAATATTGTATTTTTTGGAAACCTTTGATTTTGTTACATAATCTCCTCAATGCATTTCCTGTTATCCTTTTCTATCTTCATATAAAAGTGAAGAATCCTATTTGTAAAGCCTTGATCTGTATATTTAAATTTACTGATAATAGAAAGCTTGGCATTTTAACAAGGCATAAACAGAAAACTTTTAATTATTTTACAGTAATTGTAAAAAATATTTTTCAGTCAAAATGAGTACATTGAGTTAGTTGGCTTTGATGACATCCCAGAGGAAGGAAATGCATCTACCAAACCACCCAGTAAGAGAGAGCGTCGGCGCTCTAAAAAGGACAAAGATGGTGAGTTTTATTTTAGAAGTGTTTTTTTTTTTAATTTGGTATCTGTAAACAGGTATACTTTGATGTTATCAGTTCTCTGTATTAAATATAAAATTTCTTTGAATTGTTGCTTTTTTGATATCTCTTTTTTGCTTGAACTCTTCTGTCCTTATACTACTCTACATTTATTTAATTATTTATAAATATATACTAGAAGGTACATTGGTTTGAGACTAATACCATTGATGTTCTTACATTCTTGTAAAGCTACTAACACACACAGCATTTTGGGAAGGTCCTTAATCTAACAGATAATTTTAAGTAGGTAATTTGTAGACATATTTGAAGTGTTAACAGGTACATTGTAAGAAAATTTGAAGAAAATTAATAGGTACATTATAGTTAAATTTGATAATTATCAACAGGTACATTGTAGCATAATTTGATGATTAATTCTAGGTACAGTGTAGTAAAATTTGCAGTCAACACAACAATCATGATACAAGATGATAGCAGTGATTACAATGGTGAAGTTGTGTGGCTTAGGCACATATATTGGGCGAGTGGATAGCACAAGATACAGTGCGAGTTTGAAACACTTGGTAGGAAACAGAGGATGAAATTAGGTACTTTTTTATTTTACTGTTGAATAAGGCATAGGTTACCTTGAGGTTACCTTGAGGTGCTTCCGGGGCTTAGTGTCCCCACGGCCCGGTCGTCGACCAGGCCTCCTGGTTGCTGGACTGATCAACCAGGCTGTTAGACGCGGCTGCTCGCAGCCTGACGTATGAGTCACAGCCTGGTTGATCAGGTATCCTTTGGAGGTGCTTATCCAGTTCTCTCTTGAACAATGTGAGGGGTCGGCCAGTTATGCCCCTCATGTGTAGTGGAAGCGTGTTGAACAGTCTCGGGCCTCTGATGTTGATAGAGTTCTCTCTCAGAGTACCTGTTGCACCTCTGCTTTTCAACGGGGGTATTCTGCACATCCTGCCATGCCTCCTGGTCTCATGTGATGTTATTTCTGTGTGCAGGTTTGGGACCAGCCCCTCAATTATTTTCCACGTGTAAATTATTATGTATCTCTCCCGCCTGCGCTCAAGGGAGTACAGATTTAGGCTCTTTAGTCGGTCCCAGTAATTTAGATGTTTTACTGAGTGGATTCTAGCAGTAAAGGATCTCTGCACGCTCTCCAGGTCAGCAATTTCTCCAGCTTTGAAAGGGGCTGTCATTGTGCAGCAGTACTCCACTCTAGAGAGCACAAGCGTTTTGAAAAGTATCATCATCGGTATAGCATCTCTAGTGTGAAAAGTTCTTGTTATCCAACCTGTCATTTTTCTTGCAGTTGTGACGGCTACTTTATTGTGTTCTTTAAAGGTAAGGTCTTCCAACATGAGTACACCTAGTTCCTTTACATTGCCTTTTCGTTCTATGTTATGATTTGCCTGAGTTTTTGAGCTGGAACTTATCCTCATTAAACACCATATTATTTTCTGTAGCCCATAGAAAGACCTGATCTACATCTGATTGGAGGTTTGCCGTGTCCTCTATGTTGCCAACTCTCATGAAAATCCTAGTGTCATCTGCAAAGGATGATACAGTGCTATAGGTTGTGTTCTTGTCTATGTCCGATATGAGGATGAGAAAAAGTACTGGAGCAAGCACAGTACCCTGGGGGACTGAGCTCTTCATGGTTGATGGGCTGGATTTTATTTTGTTGACTATTACACATTGCAAAGGTTGGACAGCTTTTCTGTGGGGAGCCCCTACGGCTCCCTGGAGCTTATCGGGCTATTGTATGTTATATTAGACCGGGACATTAGCTAAGGAGTTCAGACCTACCTGGGACCAGCGCCAGAACCTGGGCCCCTTCAGAGAGGTTTCAGGAAACAATGGCCCTGGAAAACCCCCTTGTGGTTGGGGTTTTCCTTATCTGCCATCGACCAGGGTTAGGCACCCAGAAAGGTAGGCATAACAAAACAAACCCCCACATGGTAAAAAACTAAAACAAAAAATTGAACAGAGAGGCAGAAACTCCTACAATTCCAAGGAAACGAGCAAACATCACACTTTACTGCTGCGCCGATCGTCCGCACAGCCCTCCTCGTCCTGAGAGGTGGAGGGGGGAGCCCCGGACCTCACCGCGCCGGCTGCCTAACATAAGTTCGTAAGCTAATGTCAACCGGGATAGACGCTCCTCTGGCCTCAGTTGCCTGTTGGGTCACTGACACCTTGACCCGGAGTCTTGTGAGAGAGATTCTCTGTTTGTTCTCCAGTACTCTCCTGATGTTATTGGTGTTCAGAGTACAGGCGGCATCCGTGTTGCAAGCTAGGTTAGGTTGCTGCAACATGCTAGGTGTTTCCCACATGGATACCCCAGGGCTGCCCCGTTTTTATTAGGTGCTGTTCGCCCCTTTCCCGGCTCCGGACCGTCTGCGGGTTTCGGGGTCGGGGCGGGGTTTAGTTGGGGCCGAGACTCAGGTGGTTTCGGGGGCTGCCCCGTTCGGGTTGGGGACAGAGGTTTTCGAGCCTGTTCCTCCTGCCAAGGCTTCTGGGTCTTACCAGCGGCCCTTTCTTGCTGCCTTTCCCATGGACTCTTGCTTTTCTTTAAGGGCGGAGGGCTTGGAGGACGACTCTGCCCCGGGGCCTCTGCTGCGGGTTTCCGGGGCTGTGGGGAATGCTTGCTAGCAGTTCTGGGGCGGTTTGCCCCTGCCTGGGTTTTCTGCTTCTGGACGGAGTTTTTCGCCCATCCAGTCTGCTTGTTTACCCCTTTCGCTGGGGTGTTTTCGTATCGTTTGCGTCGGGCACAGCCCTATGTTCTGGTGGCCATTTTCTTCTGCCGGTTTCCCGGCGTTGCGGTTCGTTTACATGCACCTGGGTGTGCGAACGAGCGTCTTGGGTGAGTGTTTAACCTTTTTCATGGGTTTTATTCTCATGTTGTCGTTTCTTTGCCTTTCTGGTGTTTTCTGCCCGTTTTCTGTTCCTCTGGGAATGTTTGAGTGTTGATTTTACACTGGGTTTTCCGTTTTGTCTGTTTTGGGTCTGGGCTCTAAGGTTTGGGCTTAGTGCCTTGTCTGTTATGCTTGCTCCCACACCTTGTCCCTCGGTTTTCAGTCTGTTTTGACCGTTTCCCTAGGAGTTCTGTCTGGGTGCTGTGCCTTGTCTTTCTGTGGTGTATCTCCGCTGGCAAATGTGGTAGTTTGGGCTCCCCCTGGTTCGATTCCGGGTTCCTTTGGGTTCTTTGGTTTCGTTCCGGAGGTTTCTTCCTCTTGGGCACACTTTTTAGGTTCTGGGGCTTTTGTTTCCTTGTGTGTGACCCAGTTCTGCCTTCTGGGGTTCCGGGGTCTTCCTGGCTTGCAGACTGATCTTTTTGGGGCTTGGCACGTGTTGTGATCATGCTGGGACTTTGGGGTTTTGTTGTCGAGGTGGGCCTTTTGATGCAGTTTTGTGCCTTCTTCGCCTGGCTGGCATGGTGCTCTCTGCCTGCTGGTCGGCGGCTTGTAATTTTCTTTTCACGTGTACGTGTGTGTGTGTGTGTGTGTGTGTGTGTACACACACATGTACATGTGTACAGTGTGTGTGTGTACACACATGTACATGTGTACAGTGTGTGTGTGTGTACACACATGTACATGTGTACAGTGTGTAATTACCTAAGTGTAATTACCTAAGTGTAGTTACAGGATGAGAGCTACGCTCGTGGTGTCCCGTCTTCCCAGCACTCTTTGTCATATAACGCTTTGAAACTACTGACGGTCTTGGCCTCCACCACCTTCTCACTTAACTTGTTCCAACCGTCTACCACTCTATTTGCGAAGGTGAATTTTCTTATATTTCTTCGGCATCTGTGTTTAGCTAGTTTAAATCTATGACCTCTTGTTCTTGAAGTTCCAGGTCTCAGGAAGTCTTCCCTGTCGATTTTGTCAATTCCTGTTACTATTTTGTATGTAGTGATCATATCACCTCTTTTTCTTCTGTCTTCTAGTTTTGGCATATTTAATGCTTCTAACCTCTCCTCGTAGCTCTTGCCCTTCAGTTCTGGGAGCCACTTAGTAGCATGTCTTTGCACCTTTTCCAGTTTGTTGATGTGCTTCTTAAGATATGGGCACCACACAACAGCTGCATATTCTAGCTTTGGCCTAACAAAAGTCATGAACAATTTCTTTAGTATATCGCCATCCATGTATTTAAATGCAATTCTGAAGTTAGAAAGCATAGCATAGGCTCCTTGCACAATATTCTTTATGTGGTCCTCAGGTGATAGTTTTCTATCTAGAACCACTCCTAGATCTCTTTCTTTATCAGAATTCTTTAAAGATTTCTCACATAATATATAGGTTGTGTGGGGTCTATGTTCTCCTATTCCACATTCCATAACATGACATTTATTAACATTAAATTCCATTTGCCAAGTGGTGCTCCATATACTTATTTTGTCCAGGTCTTCTTGAAGGGCATGACAATCATCTAAATTTCTTATCCTTCCTATTATCTTAGCATCATCAGCAAACATGTTCATATAATTCTGTATACCAACTGGTAGATCATTTATGTACACAATAAACATCACTGGTGCAAGAACTGAACCCTGTGGTACTCCACTTGTGACATTTCTCCATTCCGATACATTGCCTCTGATTACTGCCCTCATTTTTCTATCAGTCAGAAAATTTTTCATCCATGATAGAAGCTTACCTGTCACCCCTCCAATATTTTCCAGTTTCCAGAACAACCTCTTATGTGGAACTCTGTCGAAAGCCTTTTTTAGGTCCAGATAGATGCAGTCAACCCAACCATCTCTTTCCTGTAATATCTCTGTGGCTCGATCATAGAAACTGAGTAAATTCGATACACAGGATCTTCCAGATCGAAAACCATACTGTCTGTCTGATATTATATCATTTCTCTCTAGGTGTTCTACCCATTTAGTTTTGATTAGTTTTTCCAATACTTTCACTATTACACTTGTCAATGATACAGGTCTATAATTGAGGGGGTCTTCCCTGCTGCCACTTTTGTAGATTGGAACTATGTTAGCCTGTTTCCACACGTCTGCTACGATTCCTGTACACAGGGATGCCTGAAAGATCAGGTGAAGTGGAATGCTGAGCTCAGATGCACATTCTCTCAGAACCCATGGTGAAACGCCATCTGGGCCAGCTGCTTTGTTCTTACCGAGCTCCTTGAGCATTTTTTCCACTTCGTCTCTAGACACCTCTATGTGCTCTATGTTGTTCTCTGGAATTCTTATTGTATCTGGTTCCCTAAAGATTTCATTTTGTACAAACACACTTTGGAACTTTTCGTTTAGTGTTTCACACATTTCCTTTTCATCTTCCGTGAATCTATTTCCCATTTTCAACCTCTGAATATTATCCTTTACCTGCAATTTGTTGTTTATGAATTTATAGAATAGACCTGGTTCTGTTTTACATTTGTCTGCAATCCCTTTTTCAAAATTTCTTTCTGCCTCTCTCCTCACTGCCGTGTAGTTGTTTCTCGCATCTTTGTATCGCTGGTATGTTTGGGGGTTCGGCCTCTTCCTGTATTGATTCCATTTTTGTGTCTTTTGGTCTCTAGCCCTCTCGCAATTTCTATTGAACCAATCCTGTTTCCTAGTTCTGCATCTCTGTTTTGGTATAAATTTTTTTGTGCCTTTATCATATATTTCACAAAACTTGACATACATCTCATTCACTTCCTTGCCTAGCATCAAGTCTGTCCAATTATACTCACTAAAAAAATTTCTAAGGTCACCATAATGTCCTCTCCTGAAGTCTGGTTTTTCAACTGCTTCAACCTCCTTATTTTCTTCCAGCTTATAACGCATTGCATACTTTATTCCCAAAAAGACATGGTCACTTTTACCCAAGGGAGGAAGGTACTGAATGTCAAATATCTCTTCCTCCTTCCTGGTAAATATCAAATCTAGCATGGAGGGAACGTCCCCTTCCCTCATCCTCGTAGCTTGTTTAACATGTTGATACAAGAATGTTTCCAGGATGAGGTCTACAAATTTACAGGTCCAAAAATCTTCTGTTTTAGCTTCATATGCTTCCCAGTCTATGGATTTCAAGTTGAAGTCACCGACTATCAACAGTCGTGATCTATCGTTATCCGCTCTCGCTATAATCTCTCTCATTATTGTTATAAGACCTTCACGTTTACTATCTAGCTCCTCCTTTGACCATGTGCTGCTTGGCGGTGGACTATATGCATTTATCATCATTAGTTTATCATCCTCATGGCAGATCTCTAGTGCTATTATGTCAACTTCTTGTGGATTGGCAGTCATTATTTCCTTCACCTTTAGGTGTTCTTTTACCAGCACAGCAACGCCACCGCCTTTCCTAATTTTTCTGTCCCGTCTCCAAATTGAGTAGCCCCTTGGGAATATGACCTCATTTAAAATTACATCTTCAAGTTTTGTCTCCGTGAGTGCAACAATGTCTGGTGTCTGCAGCTGTATTACATCACTTAACTCCAGTATCTTCGATCTCACTCCATCTATGTTGGTGTATGCAATCTTCAGGAACTTGTTCCCCCTCTCCTTATTCTTCACTCCCCCTCTCTCTATTGATTTTGTTGGTTTGCCTTTATGTACCACTTTACTGGTTTGCCTACCCCTATCACTTTGTAGAAAAAAGAATTTATTTCTTCTTCTTCCTGCTCTCATTTAAATGTTTTGCCTCGGCGAGGTTCAGTTTCAGCTTCTCTCTATCTTCTTTTGAAAGATCTCGTCTTAATGACCACCCTTTCCCATCCTCATCCCTTTGCAATTTTCTAGCATTCCTTAGTACTTCTTCCATCTGTTTGGCACCGTTTAGGGTGATCCTCAAAGGTCGATCTTTCCCTTTTACGTACCTGCCTATTCTCCTGTAGTCGCACACATTCTCTCTGTTTGTAAGACCTTCCACGAGGCCAACAATTTTATCTACTACTTTAGCTTCTTCTACAGCTCTTTCTGACCTAGATGTTATCGCCTTTTCTTTGCAGCCAAAAATGATCAGGGACTTACTCCGATCAACTGTGTTTTGCACCAACTTCGGGTTAGATGCCAATTCTTTCCTCACTTCTAGCCTAATGTTTGTTTTATCTTGGTTGCTGCAGTGTTTGACTTCCTTTACTGCTTCTTCTATTTTTTCCTTCTCCTTGGCCACTTGTGCATAAGTGAGTTGCATATCTTTCTTGCACTGTTCTATTCCCTGTGTAACTTCCTCCATCTGTGCTGACAAAAGCTGTTTCTCCTGTTGAATTTCCTTGCCTAACCTATTGTAGTCATTTATGTTTAAATTTACTTTAACTTCTTCCAAAGCTATTTTTAAGAGTTTATTTTCTTCTTCCATGGCTTTGCAATTTGTTTCCAATTGATTCTTATCCTTGCGCAAGTCTTTCACTAAACCCTCAAGACATAAAACTTTGCTATTCAAATGGTCATTACTTTCTTTCAATTTACTAATTATTTCTACATGAGAGTTCACTATAGTATCTAAATTTACCAACTTGTTATGTAGACTACTAATATCAATGCTTTCTTCATTGAATCCCTCAAAATCAAGCTCTGTTTTGTTTTTCCCCTTGCCAGTGGCCATCTTGAATGTTCTTCTCTGCACTGTAAACACTAGGGCAACTTTTTCTCATCCGATTTTTCACTTCCCTTAGCACTTTCCTGTTATCTCACCTATTTTTCAAGAGCACTATACCTTTATGTTCTCTGGGACACCACTCACTACCATCAACCTGTACTACATTACTTAGGATTGTTGAAATATGAGTGTGTGTGTGCACATGTGTATGTGCATACGCATGTGTGCGTAATACACCTTGTGTGTGTGTATTTATATATGTGTGTGTATATGTGTATGTGTATGTACATAATATATATGTATATGTGTATATATATATACTTTTTCTTTCGGAGGGGCTCTGTTCCCTATCCTCCAACATCAGGAAACATACATCCCACACTTAACGTAGATTCTTTCCTCCTCGTCCAAATAACTGGGGATCAAGCCCCAAGGTTTATTGAGAGCATAATCGGTCAAGACCCGGGTTAATGGTCTGGTGGTGGCGGCATAAAGGAGATCCCTGAGTTTTGCTGGAGGTATAGTACCACGTCGTGAGCTTGTAGAATCTTATCCCCCCCCCCCCCCCCGTGTTACAATGGGATCTCTTACATCTGTCAAGGAAGAGTTTCAGATAAAGATTTACATTTAGGAACAAGGTTTTGTATATGTAAGTGGCTCAAGAGAATGTGTGGAGTTAATGTTTAGCATGTTTAGGGATTTAAACAGGGGCTGTGTGTTGTCTGAAAACAGTTTATTGTTCTAATGCCAGATTTTTGTTGGGTGGTGATGGGCTTGAGGTAGTTTGCAGTGGTGGAACCCCATGCGCAGATATTGTATGTTAGATAGGAGGATAGATTAGTGTGTAGTATAATGAGGAGAGCAGTGTGTGGAACACATCTGATTTTAGAAAGTATACAGACAGTTTTTTTTTTTTTTTTTTTAACTTTTCTGTGTGTGTTGTATGTGGGTGCTGAAGTTGAGTCTCTTGTCTATGTATAGGCCAAGAAACTTTCCATCATTTTGTTTGCTGATATTAACATTGTCTATCTGGAGCTGAATTTCACTTGATGATTTACTTCTAAGTAAAATGTAGTAGGTCTTTTCTATGTTTAGTATGAGCTTGTTGGTTGACATCCATAAGTGGATCTTTTTTAATTCGTTACTTACATTATTTAGTATGTGTGTGTGGGGGGGGGGGTCTAAGTAAATGAAGGTAGTATCATCAGCAAATAGTACAGGTTTAAGAATGTTAGAGACATTAGACAGATCATTGATGTATATAAGAAATAGGAAAGGTCCTAGGATGCTGCCCTGTGGCATTCCAACGGTAAATGGTAGAGTGGGGGAGGTTATATCATTGATGGCAACATATTGGCATCTGTCACTAAGATTGGATCGAATATAGTTCAGGGCAAGGCCTTCAATTTCACATAAGCAAGGGATGCTAATCTTAATTTATTTTCTCACTTTGTTGCAAATCTTTCAAAATTTGAAACATTGTCACCTTCTGGAGAGACCAGCTGCAGGTCAAAGTACATACTATACAGCTGAAATATTCAATGTTTTCATAAATTCCCTAATGTCATCTTTCTGTGTGTGTGTGTGTGTGTGTGTGTGTGTGGAAGAGTCTTGGCAAATTCATTTGTGTAATGGAGTTTGAGGCTCAATATTATTAATTTTATTAGAAATAATGCAACATTCATTTAGGTGTGTGTTTCAAGTTAAGAAATGCTAAATACCTGTAATGGTATTTTTATGAATACAGCAATACAGAATATATGTTGGGAACTGACATTTTTGTGTTATTTAGCCCAAATAATAAAATCATACGTGAGAGGCCCCGAGTTTAAATCCTGGGCTGGGCAAGAGAAAAGGTCGCCTTTCTCTTACTGTGCACACAGTAGGTATTCTGATGAATTAATTTTGTGTACGTTTATTCTGGAAAGCAGCCTAGGTCTTGCTACCACCTGTGTTCAGTACATGTGCTCATATTCATGCATTATATCTTTTGTTCTTTCCACCCTCACTTACATTCACTCATTAAATTATTCTTGCAAGGTTCATATGCCAGTTATGTATATGTAATATTTTTTATAGGTGGTGGGAGCAGAAAGGGATCTCGCTGTAATACTCCAATTATTGAAGAAGTGCTGAATAATAAATCACCAAAATTGCACCAAGAAGAGCTGGATATGCAGAATGTTGACGTTAATCGGCAAATTCAATCAACTAACATTGAACCAGTAGACCATGAGCTACCAGGCTTCAATATTGATGATTTTATTGGAGACATAATTGGCTACCCTGGTAAGCATAATGCAAGTGTTGTATTTAAATTTCCCATGCCTTACTTTCAGAATATAATAAAAAATGTTAGCACGTGTGTGGTGTCAAAATGATGCTGTCACCTGTTAACTTGCCAATTTATCTGGGATTTAGGGACTGGCTCGGTTTTGTTGTGGGGCGACAGGCTTTTTGTTTTCGTTCCCTTCCTTCCAGTTTGGATCTGGCACCTCTCGTGTTCACACGCCTCACCTGGGTCGCGGTGACCCGTTAGCATCTGATAGGAGTTAAGAGTTCTGGCTTACCTCGATGATTGGCTGGTGTTGGCTCCCAGCCAATCCATGTTTGCTCTCCAGGGATTTGGTTCTTTCCCAGCTCACCAGATTCGGGTTCTTGGTGTACTGGAGGAAGTCCCATTTGGTTCCCTCTCAGGTTTGGACTGGGCTGGGCCTCGTGTGGGACTCATGCACCACTTCCTTGTCTCTCCCTCCGGCGGTGGTGTTGCGGCTGCGGTCCTGAGCTTACGACGGTTTTTGGAGGGCACCTGGGTCACACATCGGTTGTTCGAACGGTAGTGTGGGAGCCTGATCTTCGCCATGCTAGTCTACTAGTTGGGTAAAATCTGGCTTTGGTGGTTGTTCGGGTTTCTTCAGGGGCGTCCCTTCTGCCGCTCTCGCAATCGCTGGGTACGGATCCCGGAAGCCTTGCGTCGGCTGCTGCATCGCCGGCTTCCTGAGGGTTTTTCGGGGTTCTGTGCTCTGACTCCTTCCCGAGCCCCTCGCTTGTTGTGTTCACAGATGCCTCGTCTCTCGGCTTGGGTTTTATGACCAGTGCTCACCAGGCTGGCCAGGGTTGGTGGGGGTCAGTCCTTCCGTCGGGCTCACAGCTCGGCGCGGGCTTTTGCAGCTGTGGCATTTGGTGTGGCATTCGCTTCAGAGGGTTCATGTTGCTCGCGGAGGAACGATCCGGCTCCATTTGGACTGCTCCCCGGTGGTTCATTGTCTGAAGCGTAGGTGTTCGATGTGGTCGTTTGGCTATCCTGACGGTTCACGTTCTTGGTGTTGAATGTCCTGGCGGATGGCCTGTCTCGGTTCATTCCTTTATCCACGGAATGGACAGTCTATGCCGACTCGTTCAGTTGGCTCTACCTGATGTACAGGCTCCTAGAGGTGGACCTTTTCGCATCAGCGTGGTTGAGGCGTCTTCCAGTTTGTGGCACCCTTCCCAGCCTACGAGGCCGTTGGGATCGATGTCTTTCGGCTGGACTGGTCGAGGTAGGGTTATTTGTACCTCTTCCCACCGGTTCGGTTGTTGCTCTGGATCCTGGCTCGCTTGGAGACACCAGGGAAGAGTAGTCCTTTTGGCTCCTTGGTGAACGGCCCAGCCCTTGTTCAGGTGCTTCTTGCTCGATGTCCAAACCTGAGGGTCTTCCCGCGGCTCCGCCTCTTGCAGCAGATCGGTTCAGTCCGGTACGTGGGTGGTTCGATCTTCTCTACTCTTCATGGTCTGGTTCTTTTGGCGTGGGTTTATCACCACTTGTATGGTGATCAGGTGGCTTAGTTGATGGTGTCCCACCTGCGAGTTTTGTCTCGATGGCAGTATGAAATTTCCTGGTGGTCCTTTCAGCACTTCGTCTCTTCGTAGGTTGTTTTGTCCTTTCTCTCTTGGTTATTTCAGAACTGTCATCTTATGTCAAATACTATCTCCTCGTATCGTGCTGCGCTGGTGGATCCGCTGCAGCTTGCATAAAGGGTGGATGTCGCTTCTGCTTCGTTCCGCAAGCTTTCTCGAGCATTGTTTCACCTGCGGCTTGCTCATGCACCGCCTGAGCCGTCCTGGTCGTTGGACCAGGTGCTCTCTCTTCTCTCTCTCTCAGTTTGTGGTGACCCCCCCCCCCTCGGTTCAGGACTGTGTTTCTACTTTTTCTTGTAGAAAAGTAGAGGGGGGGGTGGGGGGGGGGGGGGGTCGGAAAGCTTCATGCTCTCTTCCGGCACAGGGGTTTCTACTTTTTTGGTCCTGGTGGTTGTTTTTTCGCTTGCAGCAGTTCTCCATCTTTCCTGGCGAAGAATGAGTCTGCTGCTTTGCAAAGGGGTCCTTGTGTTATTGATGCTTAGTTGGTTCGGCCGGGGCTTCATCATTTTTTGTGTCCGGTTGTGGCTCTTTGCTGTTATTTGTGTGCCACAGCCACTGTGGCACAGGACGTGCTTTGGGTTGACCCGGTTTCCCTTTTTCCTTATTCCAGGATGCAGGTTTCCCAGGATGTCCACAGGATTATTCAGTCCAGCCAGCCTGCGGTCTTTTCCCGTGCCCACGTCGTTCATAAGTTTGCGGCTTTGGCTGCTGTTTTTGGTAATATGTCCAGGCCTATCATTCGAGCACAGGGCTTTTGGAGGTCGAGCAGGGTCCTGGCTGCACGGTACCTTGTTAATGTTCCTGGCCCTTCTCAGGAGTGTATAGCCTTGGGCCACAGGTTGCGGCCAGTTTTCTCGACTTCGAATTATGGAGCGAGTGACTACCGCCTCCCGGGTAAGTCCCTTTTCTTTTTATCTTTGGTTAGGTAGCTCTGGGAAGCCGAAGGGACTCTCCACAGAAAACAAGCGTTGTATGTAATGAAACGCCATTTTCTGAGAGACCTGGAGGCTCTCCATCATCCCTTCCTCCCTCCCAGTTGATGTTTTTTTTTGTGTTTTTGATACTCAGCCTCTGAACTGAGGAGAGTTGCCGGCGAAGTGGTCTAGGACCCCCCTCCCCGTCCCCATTCCCAGGGTGGGTGGGAATTGCGCAGACGGACGTGCGGCGGTTGTGGTGACGTCATGTTTGTTTCCTTGTTTTTGATTGGGAGTTCTGTTTGCTAGTTCGGCTTACAGTTTGTAATTTTTGACCAGCAGTAGTTTGTTTTGGTATTTCATACCTTTCTGGGTGCCTGACCTGGTAGATGGCAGACAGACTCCTTCCAATTACACGGGGGTGTCTATAGGCCATTGCTCCTCGTGCCTCTCTTGAGTGGGCCAGGTTCTGGCTCTGGTCCCCGGTAGGTCTAGAACTCCTTCGATTGACTGTTGCCATGGTCTAATATGTACTCATCTGCCTGGTATCGCTCCGGGAAGCCTTTGGGTCTCGCCCAGAAAATGGCATTTCAATATTCAATGCTGTTTTTTTTGGTGGTATTTGACATTTTCATATACTATTAATGTAACTTCTAGGATTAAAATATTTTAATTTTTTGTCAATTCTCGTTTATTTGGATATTTTAACACAACAGTATTGTTTACTTAAAAAGTGATGTGACTTACATTTGCTGAAATTTCGTAGGTGGGCAAGATGAAGCAATGGCAGCTAATAATGCTAGCAACATGGGAATTGTCGGCTCATCACGATTGAAACAGTTTTTCTCAAAAAGAGAGAGTCCTGTTTTGGGATCTACTGTCAATTCCCGGCGTTCCTCCATGGATTTACCAGCTCATATCAACAATCTTCTGAGTGGTGAGTGTATAACACACAACCCTCTAGTCCCATAATGCCTACCATTGATATAGCTACAGTAGTAAGTATGTTGGTATCTCACAGCAGTAAATAGTTAGTGTACACATTCTATAAGTTTTTCTCTTTTGCTAATTTTCCTCAGTCAATAAATATTGGAACCACAATAAAAGGAAATAAAAAAATTATAAAATATAAAAGATTAAACATTAATATTAAAGTTTTCATAAAGAAAAAATTGCTTAAATATAATACTGTGTGTGTCATTTTATTTATATTTATATATATATATATATATATATATATATATGTCGTACCTAGTAGCCAGAACTCACTTTTTGGCCTACTATTCAAGGCCCGATTTGCCTAATAAGCCAAGTTTTCCTGAATTAATATATTTTTTCTAATTTTTTTCTTATGAAATGATAAAGCTACCCATTTCATTATGTATGAGGTCAATTTTTTTTTATTGGAGTTAAAATTAACGTAGATATATGACCGAACCTAACCAACCCTACCTAACCTAACCTAACCTATCTTTATAGGTTAGGTTTGGTTAGGTAGCCGAAAAAGTTAGGTTAGGTTAGGTTAGGTAGGTTAGGTAGTCGAAAAACAATTAATTCATGAAAACTTGCTTACTAGGCAAATTTGGCCTTGCATAGTAGGCTGAGAAGTGAGTTCTGGCTACTAGGTACGACATATATATATATATATATATATATATATATATATATATATATATATATATATATATCTATATATATATAATATAATCTATAGATATATATTATATATTATATAATATATATATAAGATATATATATAATATATATAGATATATATATAATATATATATATAGATATATATATATATATATATTATATATATATATATATATATATATATATATATATATATATATATAATATATATATATATATCTATATACTATATATTATATATATATCTATATATATATAATATAGATATATATAATATCTATATATATATATATATAATATAATATATATATATTATAATAATATATAGATATATATATAATATATAGATATATTAATATATATATATATATATATATATAATATATATCTTATATATATTAATATATATATATATATATATATATATATATTATATATATATATATATTATTATTATATAGATATATATATATATATATAATTATATATAGATATATATTATATAGATTTATATATATATATATATATATATATATATATATATATATATATATATCTAATAATATATATATATATATATATATATATATATATATATTATATATATATATATATATATATATATATTATATATAATTATATTATATATATATATATATAATTATATATATATTATATATATATATATAGATATATATATATATATATTATATATTATATATATTTACTATATATAGATCTATATATATATATATATATATATTATAATATATATATATATTATACTATATATATGTCGTACCTAGTAGCCAGAAACTCACTTCTCAGCCTACTATTCAAGGCCCGATTTGCCTAATAAGCCAAGTTTTCCTGAATTAATTTATTTACTATAATTTTTTTCTTATGAAATGATAAAGCTACCCTTTTCACTATGTATGAGGTCAATTTTTTTTATTGGAGTTAAATTAACGTAGATATATGACCGAACCTAACCAACCCTACCTAACCTAACCTAAACTATATATATATTTTAAGGTTAGGTTAGGTAGCCAAAAAAAAGCTAGGTTAGGTTCGGTTAGGTAGGTTAGGTAGACGAAAAAACATTAATTCATGAAAACTTGGCTTATTAGGCAAATCGGGCCTTACATAGTAGGCTGAGAAGTGAGTTCTGGCTACTATGTACGACTATATATATATATATATATAGATTATATATATATATATATATATATTATATATAATATATATATATGTCGTACCTAGTAGCCAGAACTCACTTCTCAGCCTACTATTCAAGGCCCGATTTGCCTAATAAGCCAAGTTTTCCTGAATTAATATATTTACTATAATTTTTTCTTATGAAATGATAAAGCAACCCTTTTCTCTATGTATGAGGTCAATTTTTTTTTATTGGAGTTAAAATTAACGTAGATATATGACCGAACCTAACCAACCCTACCTACCCTAACCTAACCTAATTTATAGGTAAGGTTAGGTTAGGTAGCTCAAAAAAAGCTAGGTTAGGTTAGGTTAGGTAGGTTAGGTAGACGAAAAAACTTAATTCATGAAAACTTGGCTTATTAGGCAAATCGGGCCTTGAATAGTAGGCTGAGAAGTGCGTTCTGGCTATTAGGTACGACATATATACTATATATATATATATATATATATATATATATATATATATATATATATATATATATATTATATATATGTATATATATATATATATATATGTATATATATAATATATTATTTTGGCGTACCTAGTAGCCAGAACTCACTTCTCAGCCTACTATGCAAGGCCTGATTTGCCTAATGAGCCTAGTTTTCATGAATTAATGTTTTTCGACTACCTAACCTACCTAACCTAACCTAACGTTTTCGGCTACCTAACCTAACCTAACCTATAAAGATAGGTTAGGTTAGGTTAGGTAGGGTTGGTTAGGTTCGGTCATATATCTACGTTAATTTTAACTCCAATAAACAAAAATTGACCTCATACATAATGAAATGGGTAGCTTTATCATTTCAAAAGAAAAAAATTAGAAAAAATATATTAATTCAGTAAAACTTGGCTTATTAGGCAAATCGGGCCTCGCATAGTAGGCTGATAAGTGAGTTCTGGCTACTAGGTACGACATATATTTATATATATAAATATATATATATATATATATATATATATATATATATATATATATATATATATATATATATATATATATATATATATATATATGTATAATATATATATATATATATATATATATTATATATATATATATATAAAGATATATATATATATATTATATATATATAATATATATAGATAATGGTGTATGTATATGTATGTATGTATGTATGTCGTACCTAGTAGCCATAACGCAGTTCTTGGCCTACAATACAAGCCCCGATTTGCCTAATAAGCCAAGTTTTCCAGAATTTTAATGTTTTTCCAATTTTTTTCTTATGAAATGATAAAGGTATTATTTAATTTTGTATCGGCTAACTTTTTTTTAATTTGAGTTAAAACTAACGCAGATATATGACCGAACCTAACCAACCAACTCTACCTAACCTAACCTGGCTTAATCTAACCTAAACTAACATAATTAATCACTAATTTATGTTCTTAATATAATATTATAATACTTAAAATAAACCAATACGAAACAATTTATTGAAAATAAAGGAAATAACTCTTCCTATTAGGCAAATTAGGCCTTGTATAGTAGGCTAAAAGTGCGTTCTGGCTACTAGGTATGATATATATCACGAAAATATCACGTGATTAAAAATGTGACAGTGTCAGACCACGGAGGAAAATTGAAACAGGAATTTCCTTAAGTACTTTCGTATATTAATACATCTTCAGAAGGAGCGGTTTTACAGGTCGAGTACTGGACATAAATAGGCTGGAGAGAATGGAGGAGTGAGGTAGGGTACAATACGTGGACACTGCAGAGGGCCTATTGGCCTATCCGATGCAGCTCCCATTCTTAACCCCACACATAGATGATAATAGCATAAAATAGTAAATATTTGCAATGAATTAATGACACAAATGTGTTCCAATGATCCTACTTAAATCGCCCTTTAATTGATCTATTAAAAATGGATCTAAGTTATATAAACCACTGCTAATGTTCAAATTACTTTCTTTTGTGATTTGTATCAAAGCAGATTCAATTATGTTATAGGTGCTTTTACAATTCGTTATTGAAGAAGCCATCTCCCAATCAATTTGGTGAGCATTTTCTGACAGATGAACAAACAAAGCATTAGACAATGGGCCATGTCTTAGAGTATTTATGTTGCGAAATTCTACATTTCAAATCTTTAGATGTTTGCCCAATATAGAACTTATTACAGTCTTTACAAGGTATTTTATAATTGACACAATTATCACTACGAGGGCTGTTCCTAACTAATATCTTACCAACAGTATTTTCGTAGCTAAACAATACATGTATATTAAAAAGTTTCATGGCCTTGACAATATTCTCAAACCCAGAGAAATATGGTAAACATAACACATTCTTTGAGCTAATTCTTTCAATGCATATATTATTATAATATGTATGACATGCTTTGCTACGGCAAACTTCCAAAAAACTCGGTGGGTAACAAAGTTTGAGACCAATCGAATCAATATTCTTAAACTCTTCGTCTAAGAATTCTGGACTCACAACTCGAAGAGCTCTTAGATACATTGAAGAAAAAATTGACTTTAACATTGTATCTATGCCCTGAAAAATAATGAACATAAGATAAATTATTCGTAGGTTTTCTGTAGACACTAAACATTAGTGAAAAATCTTCCCTATGAATAAGTACATCTAGGAATGGCAAATATTTATCAATTTCAGTCTCCATAGTAAATTTTATAGAGGTGACTTGGTCATTAAGTTTGGCTGCAAATTCATCTGTGTTTACATCTGAAGGCCATATACACAAAATATCATCAACTTATCTAAACCATGGAATGATTCCAGGAGTTATTTTTTAAACAAATTTCTTTTCGAAGAATTCCATGTACAAGTTTGGAATTCTTTATCGCCATTGCTTTCAAACTTGTACATGGAATTCTTCGAAAAGAAATTTGTTTAAAAAATAACGCCTGGAATCATTCCATGGTTTAGATATGTTGAGGATATTTTGTGTAAATGGTAGTTGGCAGAATATAGTTGTGCATTAATGCACAACTATATTCTACCAACTTCAAGACTCCTTACCAATATAGAAGCATCAAGAAATATGGGCCAATAGGCCCTTTGCAGTTACTTCCATTCTTCCCTTTAATTTACCCAATTTATACCCATTTCACTGTGTTCTGTCTTGTGTTGAAAGTTTTGTTCACCTCATCCAAAACTGTTGTAAAATATCACCTCACCCAAATGCAGGTATATAAGATGAAAGCTGTTTAAATGATAGCATAGTAGAACTCTGTTTAGTGTTTGCAGGTTATAGTTGTGTGTGTGTAAACTAAAGAATTTGAAAATGTAATAAGTTATTATGAAACGCGTTCAAGTGTCGCGTCAGACTGGAAATAAAAATGAATTTTGGAGAATTGATTTTTCAATTACCATCGACAGTGAAAAGAAACATAAGAAATATTGAGAAAATTCGTGTTAGAATTATTAATCTTACTTTTTCGGTCATATTTAATAATATATGTTTACAAGAAAGACTGGTACCAAAATATACTAATATATGTATATATATATATATATATATATGTTGTTGAATATGACCGAAAAGGTAAGATTAATAATTCTAACACGAATCTTTTCAATATTTCTTATGTTTTTCTTCACTGTCGGTGGTAATAAAAATAACAATTCTCCGAAATTCATTTTTTAATTGTCTGATGCCTGAACGCGTTTCATAATTCGTATTACATTTTCTAAGACTTAATTTACACACAAATTCTTTGTACTTGTACTCTATTGGATGAAGTGATATGGTACAAAAGTTTTGGGTGAGGTGACAAACACAAGACAGAACACGAAACTTTGGTTATAAAATGGATAAGTGAACATATGAATGGAAGTAACTGCAGAAGGCGTATTGACCCATACTTCCTCTTGCTGTTTCCATATTCGTTCAGGGTCTTGAAGTAGGTAGACCCCCGAACCAAGAGGGAATAATGGAAGTAACTGCAAAGCGCCAAAAAGTCAACACCAGCAATCACCAGCCAATTAATGCACAACTATATTCTACCCACTTCAAGACTCCGTACCAATATAGAAGCATCAAGAGGAAGTATGGGCCAATAGGCCCTTTGCAGTTACTTCCATTTTTCCCTCTCATTTATCCAATTAATACCCAATGTTCCGTGTTCTGTCTTGTGTTGGTCAAAAGTTTGTTCACGTCATCCAAAACTGTTGGAACATATCACCTCACCCAAATGCGAGAATATAAGACAAGCTGTTTAATTGTTAGCATAAGTAAAACTCTGTTTAGTGTTTTCAGGTTACAGTTGTGTGTGTGTGTAAACTAAAGTCTTTGAAAAGGTAATAAGGTATTACAAAACGCGTTCAAGCGTCGGGTCAGACTAGAAATAAAAATGAATTTTGGAGAATTGATTTTTCAATTACCATCGACAGTAAAAAGAAACATAAAAAATAATGAGAAAATTCGTGTTAGAATTATTAATATTACTTTCTCAGTCATATTTAACAACATATATATGTATGTATGTATATATATATATGTCGTACCTAGTAGCCAGAACGCACTTCTCAGCCTACTATGCAAGGCCCGATTTGCCTAATAAGCCAAGTTATCCTTAATTAACATATTTTCTCTAATTTTTTTTTTATGAAATGATAAAGCTACCGATTTTCATTATGTATGAGGCTAATTTTTTTTTAGTGGAGTTAAAATTAACGTAGATATGACCGAATCTAACCAACCCTACCTAACCTAACCTAACCTATCTTTATAGGTTAGGTTAGGTAGCCGAAAAAGTTAGGTTAGGTAGTCGAAAACACATTAATTCATGAAAACTTGGCTTATTAGGCAAATGGGGCCTTGTATAGTAGGCTGAGCAGTGTGTTCTGGCTACTAGGTACGACATATATATATATATATATATATATATATATATATATATAATGTATATATGTATATATATGTATATGTATAATATATGTATATGTATATATGTATATGTATATATGTATATGTACATATATATGTATATATGTGTACATATATATGTGTACATATATATGTGTATATATATATATAATGTGTATATGTGTATATATATGTATATATATATATATATGTGTGTGTATATATATGTTTGTATATATATGAACATTGAATATATATGAACACATTGAACGCGTTTCGTAATAACTTATTACATTTTCAAAGACTTTAGTTTACACACACAATTGTAACCTGAAAACACTAAACAGAGTTTTACTTATGCTAATAGTAAACAGCTTATCTGTCTTATATACTCGCACTTGGGCGAGGTGATATGTTGCAACAGTTTTGGATGAGGTGAACAAACTTTTGGCAAACACAAGACAGAACACAGAACAATGGGTATTAATTGGATATATGAGGGCATAAGAATGGAAGTAACTGCAAAGGGCCTATTGGCCCATACTTCCTCTTGATGCTTCTATATTAGTACGGAGTCTTGAAATGGGTAGAATATAGTTATGCATTAATTGGCTGTTGATTGCTGGTGTTGACTTTTTGATGTGTAGTGCCTCGCAGATGTCGAGCCACCTGCTGTCGCTGTATCTATCGATGATTTCTGTGTTGTTTGTTAAGACTTCTCTGGAGATGGTCTGGTTGTTGGAAGAGATTACATGTTCCTTAATGGAGCCCTGTTGCTTATACATTGTTAATCGCCTGGAAAGAGATGTTGTCGTCTTGCCTATATACCGAGTTCTTTGGGGCTTACAGTCCCCAAGCGGGCATTTGAAGACATAGACGACGTTGGTCTCCTTTAGCAGAACACCTTAGAAACCAACGTCGTCTATGCTTTCAAATGCCCGCTTGGGGACTGTAAGCCCCAAAGAACTAAGTATATAAGCAAGAGCGAAGGCGAAACCTTCTTACATCTTATGCATTTTACACGTGATGCATTTTGCTCAGCTAGCAATAAATAGGTACCTGGGAGTTAGGTAACTGTTGTGGGCTGCAACTTTGGGAAGATCAGTTGTTGGCATAGGGGGACTTCGGTAAGCAGACTGGCTTCCTATCCCTGATAAAAGAAAACCAAGTGTTTATATCATAATTTTTTTTTATAATTGTAATTAATTTTGATTTAGGTACTGTAATAATTTTTATTTTTCATGTTTACCAATTGGTTGAAATTTTGTTGCTGTGCTTCAAATATAATAGTAGGGGCAGTACTATCAGTATCTCGAGGTAGTGTGTAGTAATGTTTGTGGCTCAGCTTGATTGAGCCTTGCACTTAGGTTTTCATGGCTTGTTTGTTAATCCCAGAGTGAGCCGTTTACTAGATATGGGCCTTATTAAAACTTGCATATACTATAGTTACTAACTAAAAATGTATTTAATATCACATTGAAAGAGGTACAGGTAGTTAGAAGTACAGTAATTACTAATAATATTGCAATCTACACTAACCCCAGCTGTACTAAATTGCTTATGATACTAATAGCCCAGAAGGACCATGGTTTCCACTGTAGTGCTGAGTACTCTTCAGACCTTAAGTCTGAAGCCTAACCCGCAAACCTGCCTCTGCAGAAATCACGGGTAGCGAAACAAACATTGTGATCCCTTCGCCCACGGCAGGCCTCGACTCGAACCGCTTCTTCGCACCAATTTCTCCGGCAGACAAAACGGGTGGAAACTCCATAGTGGATCTTCTGCAGCAAGCATCAGGAGGGATAGGTGGACCTGAACCAATGAGACCACCTCCTCCGATAGGACCTCCTGGTATGCCAGGATCACAGCCTCCACCTTCTATTAAGGATCTCAGTGAGTTCTATGGTGCATACTCGGGAGTTTATTAAAAATGTCTTTAATACTGCCATATTGCTCAAGCTGTGCATTGCAATAAATTTATAAATCTCTTGTTCAGTTTAGTAGATCATTACATTTACCTCTTGAGTATTAACACTGTGAAGTTTTTTGAATCTATTGTAAACAGTTTCTCATTAGATTGATAGTGCTCACTAGTTACTGAACTAAATTAATCCATTGAAACCTTAAGTGTAGTGATGGTAGTAGTAGCAGTAGCATGAGAGAGAAAGTACAGGGGGCCCTTAGATATGTGCAATTTTTGCCATAACACAGTTTGCATTTAGTGCCAATAATTAAAATTGTTGTTCTATGATATGACTTAACAGATTTACACATAAAAATATTTATTGCTAATCAAAATTACTTCTTGGTATTCCTAGTTCTGTGCTATTACAGAACAATTATATTAAACAATTTATCAAAGAAGGAATATGTACTGTAAGGCTGACTGGTGTGCACTCCTTTCCATTCCCTTACCCTCCTCACGGACCACTTGACTTAAACCTGCTCCACCTAAGTTTTCTTGATTACCAATGGCAGATGTACCGCTTTTGATCTACTTTCATTCAGTGATAAGCTAATTGGTGAAGGTTCTTTTTGAGCTGAAGGATGCCTTTTGTATCTTATCCAGGTATTAGGTTCTAGTTGAGGTCTCAATTAAAATGTTCTGAAAGCTATGTTGCAATAGTAGGGAGACAAAATGGTCCATCAAGAAGTTGACTGGGTCAGCCATGAAGATTTATTCATTACATACACCTTGAATGGAGGCATTGTATAGTTGGATTTACTGTTGCAAGCTGCAACTCTGACCTTTGCTTCTGGCTGTCATGACGCATCCATGGTTTTTAGGAATCCTGTTAATGTAACTGAGATCGTAAACATTGGTAATAAAGCCCTTAATGTTGGTTGACATAATGCTTATGGATTGGGTTCCATTTTCACATTTTTGCCAAAGTAGCTGCTGTTAGTGGCATTCCACAGTGCTGGTAGGCTAATGGTGTATAAATCTAAAGTTTGTGTAAGGCCAAATGATAGCAAGGTAGGTGACCTGTTTGTACAGGTTGTCCTCCAACTTGAGAACAGGATGTTTCAAAAGGAAACAAGTCAGCCATTTGTACGTTGGATGCAAATTTCCCACAGGCTCAGTCCTGTAAATGGGGGATGCAATACTGGACCACTCACACAGAGATCACAATTACGTGATGCATCAAATGAACAAATCCACAAGGGCCGTGACGAGGATTCGAACCTGTGTCTGGAAGCATCCCAGACACTGCCTTAATCGACTGAGCTACGACAGGGTTAAAAGGGTTGAAACCGAAGTTCTACTGAACTTACTGGATCCCGTAGCCTCTCTGAGGCACAAACCAGGCTTTTACACAACCCCCCCCCTGCACCCGATAGCTCGGGTGCATCCCGCAGGAGCGACACGAACAGCTTCAACAGCGCAGACAATGCACTTACTGCCGAAGGCAACGCTTCCAAAGAAAAGAAAGGGCAGTCTGCTAACTAGGACGACTCCGGAACTTCGTAACGAACCCAGTATGGACACGAAGACCCATACACGAAGGAATGCGGATCCATCATAAAAGCAAAATCCAGGTCGCACAGGAAGTAAGCCACAAGGGCTTCTCGCACCCACTGTGACTGGACTCGGGAAGCCAGAAACCTCCGGAAAGACGGAATCGAAAAACTGATGGGGCCACGGAACCGAACCTGGGGAGGGGTAGACGCCAAATCCGACTCGTACAAGGAGGGAGCAAAAGAGCCCCACACCCTATAACACCAAACCCCGCTCTGAGGGGTACAAAAACCCAAGCGGGGTCCAGTGGGGCCCAAGGTCCCCCAAGTCACCCCCTCCCCTGCCCCAGGAACCTCACCCCGAGGATCTGGGGCCGAGTCGTCGTCCTCCCCCCCCCCAACCCCCGCCTCTAAAGAAAAGGCAGGAGCATCTGAAAAGCAGGAACGAAGGGGCCCCCCCCTGGTCAGACCCAGAAGCTCCGGCAGGAGGACCAGGCTCGAAGGCCTCCGCTGCTATCCCGGAAGGGGACTCCCCTAAGGCTGCCAGTCTCTTAACACCAACTAAACCCTGCCCTGTCTCCAAAACCCTCAGATGCTTTGGAGCCGGAAGCATGGGGGGAAAGAAACGGATAGACAACAGAAGGGAAAGGACAAAGGGCGGAACCAGAGCCGAAGCGACTCCCACCCCCAAGTCCGGGTCCCTAAAACCAAAACGGGGCATCTGGGGAAGCAAATAACCTAGCGCGTTGTACCAAAGCGCTACACGTGGGCCTGTGGGCTGCTGCAAGCAACAGCCTAGTGGACCAAACTCTCACAAGTCAAGCTTGGCCTCGGGCCGGGCTTGGAGAGAACTATTCCCCGAACCCCATCAAGCAGGTGGAACAGAACCAGCCGCTGTAAGAAGTGAAAACTAGCTGTGCAGTACCCTGCGCCCCTACCAATGACGAAAACTACCCCCTACCCTGAGGCAAACACGGGCAACAAAGACCCCAGTTTTCTCCAAGGGCAGCCAAGTACTGAGCAGTAAAAGAGACAGTGGGGGTAGGTCTTTAGGTGTTTTGCGGAAGGTGGCCCCAAGCCCCAAGGGTAGTACTTGCAGGGCACCTAGGCGCATGCAGCCAGAGTACTAAAGAATATTACTCCTAGCGTGCACACTACCAGTAGAGACAGTCCACACCAAAAGGCACTGAATCTGAGACAAATTGCTGGAAACAGTGGCACAAGACCATGCCAGTAGCACATCAGCCTGAGAACTGAAGGGTGGATCACCTGCGTGGGGTTCTTGGGCTTCCCCTTCCTCCTCCCGGGGAGGGGGGTTGCACAGACAGCGGCGTGGCAACATGACGACGCCATGTTCGTTTGGGGAGTTCTGTCCATGCGTTCAGCTATCGGTAACAATTGTTTCACCTGAATAGGGGTTTGTTTTGGGGCGCCTACCTTTCTGGGTGCCAGAGTTGATCAATGGCAGACATAGACTGCTCCCAACCACATGAGGGGTTTATATAGGCCATTGCTCCTTGTGCCTCTCTTGAAGGGGGCCAGGTTCTGGCTTATGGTCCCTGGTAGGCAAGAACTCTGTGCACATTGACTGATGCCCGAAAGTTATACATATCCATTCAGCCTGGATAGCTACGGGAAAGACGGGCGCCCCCCAGAAAAGTAATATAATCATTACTGGTATACAACTAAACACTAAATATGCTAAAATATAACATTAATTACAGTGATGGACGGTAAAGGACAGAGTTTAGAGGAAGTGGAGGCTGGGATAAGAAGTATGCGTCAACCAAGCCACAGTCGCCATAGTTATATTGGGCATAACCGCCACAATATAAGCCAGTTGACAGCTTTTGATGACTTCGTGAGTAAATGTTATTACTATTGGCACATGCTATGCATTATGTTTTACTAGTAGAGCATGCATAAAAACTATAAATTTTGTAACCTTGTATTATTGTGGATATTTAAAGTGTGTTTATTGTTGTTGATCTGCTGATCATTAGTAGGTAGCAATTTTGTAGCTCTAGATTCATGAAATTTGTAGACTAAATATTGATTTGATTTTGTGGAAACAAGGCTGTATGATTATGTATAAAGTTGTTTAATATTGTATATATAGGTAAAACTTATTGTGTTACTGTTAAACTAGCATGAATTGATAGTTGTCATTGCTAGTGCAAGGAATATTTGAGTGTACTTTGGGTAATGTTGATGCATATTGCAGAATATAATCAATCAGTAAACACAAATTTGGTGGGTATTTGTTTATCTAGTTCTGCCTCTGTCACCCTGTTCCCCACCACCTTTCAAAGAACTTTCAATTAGTGGCCTTTACTGAATATTCCTTTATCTGACCTTACCTAAATAAGGACTTAAAACTTGATCCAAATTCCATTTTCCCTTATGAATCCTAGCCTTTAATTATCCCTCTCTCCTTATCCATGAAATATTGTCTGCTTTTCATATTTTCTTAGCAAGCATAACATTAATATTGTTTTCTCCATGTGTCTGAATATTTCCCTCAACTATTCTGACTTAACCTACACCTCACTTTGCTCTTACTTATTTCTCCCTATCTATTTGTGCTATATACAATTTATCGAATTTTCAAGAACCTTAATTTTACATTCGTGTAATTCCCTAAGTGTAGTTACAGGATGAGAGCTATGCTTGTGGTGTCCCGTTTTCCCAGCACTGCCATATAACCCCTTTAACCTATTGACGGTCTTGGCTTCTACCACCACCTCGCCTAACTTGTTCCAACCGTCTACCACTGTTTGCGAAAGTGAATTTTCTTATATTTCTTCGGCATCTGTGTTTAGTTTAAATCTATGACCTCTTGTTCTTAAAGTTCCACGTCTCGGGAAATCTTCCCTATCAATTTTTCGAGTGCCTTATTTCCTGCACATTTTACTACCATGGATCAGAAATACAATCACTTAATTTCCTTAAACTTAACATTTTTTTCCGTGCTTTGCTATCATACATGTACAGTACAGAGCTAATACTAGATACTTTGGTTTCATCTTCCAGTGCTTCACTACCCACTTCTGTTTTGCATCTCATTAAAATATTTTATGGTATGCAAAATTTTGTGAGATAAATGATGAGGTAGCAAAAAATTTATTCTAAAACAAAGATGCAAAACAAGAAAACAGGATTGGCTCAACAGAAATTGCAAGAGGGGCAGAGAACAAGGCAAAACAAAAAAACAAAACAAAAAAAACTAAAGGTTCACTATAGGAAGAGGCCTAACCCTCAAACATACCAACAGTAGATACAAACAAGAAACTACACAGCAGTGCAAAGAGAAGTAGAAATATATTGAGAAAGGGGGTAGAAGATAAATGTAAAACAGGACTAGTCTTTTTTTTATAACTTTATTAAAAGAAAGCTGCATGTAAAGGATAAAATTCAGAAATTTTATCTTCCCATCTCATCTTTTCCTATCCCCCGCTCTCATTTTTTTTCATGTCACCCTCTCCTCTTTTCCTACTCCCCCCCCTCTCCTCTTTTCCTACTCCCCCCCCCCCTCTCCTCTTTTCCTACTCCCCCCCCCTCTCCCCCCCTACTCCCCCCCCCCTCTCCTCTTTTCCTACTCCCCCCCCCCTCTCCTCTTTTCCTACTCCACCCCCCTCTCCTCTTTTCCTACTCCCCCCCTCTCCTCTTTTCCTACTCCTCCCCCCCCCCCTGTCTCCTCTTTTCCTACTCCCCCCCCTCTCCTCTTTTCCTACTCCTCCCCTCTCCTCTTTTCCTACTCCTCCCCTCTCCTCTTTTCCTACTCCTCCCCTCTCCTCTTTTCCTACTCCCCCCCCTCTCCTCTTTTCCTACTCCCCCCTCTCCTCTTTTCCTACTCCCCCCCTCTCCTCTTTTCCTACTCCCCCTCCTCTCCTCTTTTCCTACTCCCCCCCTCCTCTCCTCTTTTCCTACTCCCCCTCCTCTCCTCTTTTCCTACTCCCCCCCCTCTCCTCTTTTCCTACTCCCCCCCTCTCCTCTTTTCCTACTCCCCCCCTCTCCTCTTTTCCTACTCCCCCCTCTCCTCTTTTCCTACTCCCCCCCCTCTCCTCTTTTCCTACTCCCCCCCTCTCCTCTTTTCCTACTCCCCCCTCTCCTCTTTTCCTACCCCCCTCTCTCTTTTTTCTACCCCCTCTCCTCTTTTCCTATCCCCCCCCCTCTCCTCTCTCTCCCTATCCTCCCCTCTCTCCTCTCTCCTCTCTCCCTATCCTCCCTCTCCTCTCCCTCTCTCCCCCTATCCCCCCCTCTCTCCTCTCTCCCTATCCCCCCCTCTCTCCTCTCCTCTCCCTATCCCCTCCCCTCTCTCCTCCCTGTCCCCCCTCTCTCTCCCTATCCCCTCCCCCTCCTCTCTTCCTATTCCCCCCTCCTCTCTTCCTATCCCCCTCCCCCCTCCGCTCTTTTCCTATCCCCCACTTTGTCCTCTCTTCCTATCCCCCCCCCTGTGGTCTTTTCTTATTCCCTTCTTTTCCCATCCCCCTCTCTCCTCTTTTCCCCTTTTCCTGCCCCCCTCTCCTCCCCTTCTCCCTTCATATCCACTATTCTCTCCTCTTTTTTCTGTTTTGTCTCATTCTGTCTGACAGTTGGTGTTTGTCTTTTCGCTGACTATTTCCTTGCCCCTCTCTTGTAAAAATATAATTTTCCATTGATGTGCTGGTGGTCCACTGGCGAGAGGAGCTATGGTGTTTTATATTCAAACATATATTAGTCTCCCTTAGGCTTTTAAAAAAGGAGAAATAAAAAGCTTTTAAGAAAGCTTTCTCATAGGCTTGAGAAAGCCTTGGAAGGATTATCTGTTTTATGCTACTACAGGCATAGTAAGATAATTAGAAAATGTTAATTTTTCCAAGATCAGTACATAATTTTTCATATTGCTATAAGAAAAAGTTTAAAATTTTGTTAAAAATATTTAGCCAAGCTTAACTGGCAGGCAGTATGAAATCAATGATGGGGGTCAGTATGTGACTAGCATGCTATTTCCTCTTGAATTCTGGCAGGCCCAACCAGCGTATGTCCATCCCATACACCAGACTATTTTCCCCTGCAAAGTTGGGTGAGGATAGCACTAGCATCAGGCCTCAAATCTTGGGTAGACATTCTTATAGATATATGAGGAAATATCAATATTTTATTATTGCAAGTCATATTATACATACGTTTGCATATATAGTTACACAATACTGTGTACTATATACACACACATGCATTTTAAAATATAGATATTTGTCAATATTATAAACTTAATGCTTAATTTTTAATGACCCTATTTCTTTAGTGAATTGCCTCGTCAAAATTTCACCCTCTTAGCTTTTAATTTTTTGTCATTATAGCTTTCTCCTGACAGTGATCTCTAATATATTTCCTTTCTATTATTTTTTATTACAGAAACAGTGCTAGTAATACCAACACCACATTCCTCAGGCAGTCTCCTCACTTCCCAGCCATGATCATTTTTCCACATTGATTATATTTTTAATATTATAATACTTTTTCCTTCTATTTTATACAAACAGATTAGCCTTGCAGGTAGATATCTTTTCTACTCGAGCCTAATAAAATTTAAAAGCCATAATAATAATAGCACATGGAATAATCGAGGACTGGATGTCTATCGTCTCTGTCCACTGACAGCTTCGCACTCCTAGACTTGGTCACCTTTAAATGTAAATTTAGCTTTTCCATTATGTTCATGTAACTTTTTATCCTCTTACATGGTTTAGCCAGAGTTCTCTTGCAAAAGAATACATAAAGATTGAAACGGTAGCAGACCTCTAGATTCACACAGTTTTTGTAGGTGGAAGGCCCATGGTGGCACAAACAGTGTAAGGCATGGACTTGAGAAGCACTTCACAATGCCACTCAATTAGCAGGTCAGTTTTAAGATATGCTAAACAACACAAATACAAAGCCCCATCTGTGTTTAAATAGCAAGTCCTTCAATGTTCATTAAATTACCTCCCACCCGTTATATCCATCCCATGAGGCTACCCGATGGGATGGGCTCCCCGACGGCTGATTGGACAACGCTTGGGATTCGTAGTCCTGAGGTTCTGGGTTCAATCCCCAGCGGAGGCGGAAACAAATTAGCAGAGTTTCTTTCACCCTGATGCCACTTTTCACTTAGCAGCAAATAGGTATCTGGGAGTTAGACAGCTGCTACGGGCTGCTTTCTTGGCACGTGTAACAAAAAGGACTGGTCGAGGACCGGACCACGGGGACGCTAAGCCCTAAAATTTATCTCAAGATAACCTCAAGATGAGATAGATCCTCTATTTGAAATTGGGACCAGAATCTGATTTGCTCCAAAAGGCAAATGGAAACCTAGGGATAAGAGATAAAATCAAATCCATTGTAAAACCCTACAAAAAGCATTGATGCCTCTAAATTAACCACTGCTTGGATATAAAAGTGATCTTCCTAGTAAACAAGGCAAATGATCATTGATGCTGGAGAACCCCCAAACTGTGGTGCACCTAACTGCCATAAAGTAGCAGCCCAGATCAAATGTAGTCCCAGCTGGCCTAACCCCCCCAACCCTCCCCCCTCCCATGGGAGCATGATGTGACAAACCCCCAACCCCACAGGGAAGAAGGAAACTGGATCAAAACATGGAGCTGCTGGGGGCATTTCATAACATTCAACACTAAATTTCTACCTTCATTACCTCCCCTAACTTGTTCACAATTGAGCCTCAGGAGGGGAAGCCACCAACTCGCTAAAAAAGGAAAATTAGTAAAACAAAACGGGTGGCCTGGAATTACCCGAGGCTGGAGAGGAGGGTTGAGGACAAAGAATGTCAGGGGGCATGCCAGACCTCCAAGTGTTGCACAGGCACAACAAAGCCAAGGA